TTAGATCCATCGCAGTATTGAGAGGCGACTAATGAGACATTCCGTAGCAAATTGGAGATTTTTCACATTTACCGGGCCAGATTTCCACATGCACATGTTCCACGTTTTTGATATCTCTCGTTGACTCACTTTATATGATAGTGCATCTTGCGCAAGAATAGGTCCTCTACATCAGCGTTCCTTGTCCGCGATGCTCTCAGCTTAATTGCTGCCTTCGACTGTCTTTAGCCGAGGGGACTATTGGTTTTATATAATAGCTATATTTTCAATTATAATATATCAATTCTATCTTCTTGTAATATGATGTATATGTACATGTAACTGTTCTGTTTCACTGTGTCTTGAAAAAGGAGCGGATCGCTCCGAAAATTTGGCAACCTAAACTTGTCCACACTGTTGGAATTACTTCTTTGCCCTATATATATATATTGCATATATATGTATATAATTGAAATACTTAAATAATAGAAAGTTTAAACTAATTTTCTGGTAGTATAACTAGATCTATACCAAATGGGCCATCCTTAAAACACATGTTTGTTTTCAGTATCCCCAACTCACATTTTGTTCAGTGGGTAAGTAGTTTTTTCTCTCTCAAAATAGGCCTATCAGATTTCTTTATATAAAAAAACGTTAACTTTAAACGGGAAACAGCAAACACACAATTCAATTCTTAATATATTACAATATATATGTATTCCAATCCCTGTCTGGCCCGTTGCATTTTGTCCCTCTCCTGGTAACATGCATTTTACTGAATTTTACAAAACACGTGGTAGACGGTCATACACATACACACTTTACTGGTGAAAAGTGTGCGTGCTGGATTAAAAGTATATTCGCTGCTATAATATCAACTAGTATATTTACCAGGCCAGAACATAACACGTACCGGAAATACCGGATTAAAGTAATAGACGAACATACATGGCATCTTCTAAAGGTATTCTGGTCATAGTATTAGAAGTTAGTGATAAAATACTGGCATGATATTATCTTGATGACATGATGTCATGTTTTGTTTTTGTTAGGTGGAACCTTACTGTTTCGACGTATGGCACACACGATTTTTATGTGTAAGCCCGGGCTTTTTTTCTTCGGACATCTACGCCCCTTGATACCCAATATATGTAAATTAATGCTATAAAATCTCCTCGTGTATATGACCTTGCCCTATTTTCTGGTCGTAGGACTTCTTATTAACTATAAATATTTAGTTATTATCTCAAGGTTCAAATTGCGTTTAATGTCCTGTGTTGGAGATCAAACCGCTTGTATATTAGAGCTACCTAGTATGTCGAAGTTCATATCACATTTATCTGCTGCAAAAAATATGTTTTGACTCAAACACTTCAATCACGTTTTCTTGGGAACTTCGTGGCCCAAGACCATGGTATTTGCATATATTGTGTTTTGAGCAAAGGTGAAGTTCTACCGTTGGCCGAGGTCAAAGGTTAACGTGGCCTTGACGGGTAAAAGATTAATGAATATTCTTTTAGCTCCATAAGACTTAGTGTCATGTTTGGCCAGTAAATTTGTATGAACCTTTGAGATATACGGCTATATTTTGACCTAAACTAAGCTGTTCAGAGTAATTACGTCTCCCCTTCGAATATTGTATCAGTACTAGTTCTTCTGGTCCTTCTAATCACAACTTGTCCGGGCCATACATTTTAAACCGTTAAAGATATCTTGATGAAACTTGAGGTATGCCTGCATCACCCACAGCAGGTGTGCAGTGCACTGGAATTAGGTCACTGTGACCTTCACCTAAATGTCAAAGGTAAAATAAGAGCAACATTCAGTAAATTCTTGTCTGGCCCGTAAATTTAAAACCCTTTAAGATATCTTGATCAAACTTGAAGTATACCTGCATCACCAACAGAAGGTGTGCAATGAACTAGAATTAGGTATCGTGCCCCACTATAGACAAAATTATGGCCCTTTGTGTTTTTTAGTCCAGAAGTTTGTCCGGAACATGAGTTCCATGTTATTTCACCTACGTTGACCAAACTTACCATATTTATAGATCTTGGGAGGGCGGAATCTCTCACACTTAAATCTTGTCTTGTGCCCCACTATATATTCGCTATTGCCAAATCCTGTTACTACCAGATCAGGAACATCGGCTGTATTCGGCAGTTTCTAACTGCAGATGCATGCAAGATTTTGGTGCATTCACTTGTTACCTCTCGGTTGGATTATGGTAACGCCCTGCTCTGTGGTATATCTGACAAACTAACTAGTCGTCTGCAGAGGGTTCAGAACACTGCAGCACGGCTAGTTACTCGTACTCGAAAGAGAGAGCACATCACACCTGCGCTTTATTCGTTGCACTGGTTACCTGTACGATACAGGTCGCAGTACAAAATTCTGGTATACACATACAAGGCACTGAATGGAACAGCTCCTCCGTACCTACAGGAACTTGTTACCCTGTATCAGCCGTCAAGATCACTGCGGTCGGAGTCAGAATCTTTGTTGTGTGTCCCAAAATCTCGTACTGTGACCTACGGAAACAGATGCTTTGGGAGGGTTTCGGCTACGTTGTGGAATAGCTTACCATCTGCTATTAGGAAGTCGAATACCCTGGCCAAGTTCAAGAGGGACATAAAAACTCACCTCTTCACGTCTGCATTTTAGAATCTTTGCAAAGACGTAATGTAAATACCACCCTTTTATTTGTTCAATTATGTGCACATTGCTTGTTAAATGTATGAAAGTGATTGCAAGCCTTTGTTGTTTTCACAATTATAACCATTACTATTATCCATATGTTGTAAAGCGCCTTAGAGTAATTTTACAAATTATATAGGGCGCTATATAAATGCTGTATATTATTATTATTATTACTATATACAGAGTTATGGCCCTTTGTTTATATTTGTATATCGAAGTTTGTCCACGACATAACTTCTTAACCATTTAATATACCTTGATCAAACTTGAAGTATACCTGCATCATCAACAAAAGGTGTACAATGCACTGGAATTAGGTCTTGTACCGCACTATATACAGAGTTATGGCCACTTTTTAATTTTTAATTCCGAAGTATGTCCACGGCATAACTTCCATGTTATTTCACCTAGGTTGACCAAACTTGCTATAGTTATGAATCTTGGGAAGTTGGAGTGTCGCATTCTAAAATCGGGTCTCGTGCCCCACTATGTAAATATACTAAAGTTTGTCTGCAGCATTAGTTCCATGTTATTTCTTCTACGTTGACCAAACTTGCTGTATTTATGTATTCTTGGAAGGCGGAGGGTCAAGTACTGTAATCGGGTCTCGTGTCTCACTATATAAAGAGATATGGCCCTTTGTTATTTTTTATAACGAAGTTTGTCTACAGCATAAGTTCCATGTTATTTCTTTATGCATTTGGGAAGACGGAGAGTCGAGTACTGAACATCACCCATCTGTGCATAATCGAACGTAGATAGTTATAATTATTTGACTTTATTCGCATAATTTTATTAACTATATTGTAATCAGATGTGTGATAATTCCTATTTTTATATGTACATGGGTCTATAGTACCACAGCTGCCGAAACCAAAATTGTAAAGACAATTTAACATGAACCAGATTTTTTTTTAAAGTTTAATGGTTTTGAACTTCCAAACTTGCATATTGGCTAATAAGGGGAACCATACGTTTTTGTTCACAAAAAACAAAATTCTAGTTTTACATGTTTTAGGGGTTTAGATCGACTTTCGGTATATATGATCATTGAGGGTGTCATTTTTACCAAAAGTCGATCTAAACCCTTAAAACATGTAAAATTACTCTGGACACCTTAGTTTAGGTCCAAATATAGCTGTAACAAATTCACAGGTCCTTGTGATAAATCACATATAAACAGTTTTGTCAACTCTTTTCTTTCATAGGCTGGGGCGATCGCAAATAAACGACAACAAAGTGACACGGAAATATTCACCTCCAACATCCGCAATCCTATTCATCCATTAAGAAGAATAGTCTTCAAATTTATATTTTTGTTCATGAAATATGAAAAAAATACCTCCCTAGGTTTTCGGTATTGAATAGTACGGTAATGAAGTTTGACAAATTGGCGCTCTTCCCTAATTTCAGAACCCTGGATCCGCCACTGAATTACTAATAATCCGATTTTTCTCAACTCGCCTTGCATCCCTTGCATTTGTAACACATTTACCTTTGACGACTTGACGTTTATCCTGTTTCAGTCATCTTGATGTCAGTTCTGTGCCATAATACCTCGTTTGTCTTTGACTTTGAACGAGAGATTCTGGCGCTCATCATTGTACCATCTTCATAAGTTCTATGTCAGCTCAATCTTTTCTCTTACCTGTTCGATCAATTCATGTAAACAGTAAATGCACATTGAGGTAACTTCTGAGATATAGCAATAACAAACTTGAAATGTCAAAATCCAAGATGGACGCCAGTCGACCACTTTGTTTATTCCATCAGTCTCAAAAGTAAACATGCACAATTAAAGTTCAAGGGGGAATCGACATAACAAATTTGAGTTAGATCCATCTAGTACTTTCTAAGAAATAGTAATAACAATCATTAACTGTCAAAATCCAAGATGGCCGCATGTCGGCCATTTTGTTGATCCAATCAGTCTCAAAAGTTAACATGCCAAGTTAAAGGAAACTTGCGTATCAAATTTGAGAAAAATCCTTCCAGCATTTCCTGGGAAATAGTGATAACAAACCTTTACTATCAGTCTCAAATCTAAACATGCACAACTAGGGACAAAGGAGAACATACATATCAAAATTTGAGAAAGAGCAATAACAAACATTCTGTCAAAATCCAAGAGGGCCACCTGTCAGCCATTTTATTAATCCGATCAATCTCAAAACTAAGCAAGCACAACAATGGACCAAGGGGAATCTACATATGAATTTTGAGAAATATCCCTCCAGTCCTTTTTGAGAAATTATAATAACAAGAATTATCTAAGCACGGACTACGAACGAAGGGCAATTTGATTGGGCTAAAAAGCTTCAATCAGAAAGACTAACCTTCAGCTTATGCTGTGCTATAAGCTGTCACAAGTTTGGATATTAAACAATTTGTATTAAGTTCATTGAAGTTCACTTTTCGCTTTACAACATGACCCTATTGAGTATTCGTCGACTATTTTGTAAACACATTTGGTTCCATTCCATTACAGCTGAAATTAATTTGAGCTATACAGAGGTCAAAACATTTTACTATCATGTTAGACCGATGGAAAAATGAGTCACTCGCATTTCTTTTATGAGAGAAAAATATCAAACACAGACTACAATACCAAGATAGATCCATTTTGATTTGAAAATTTGATACCAAATTGAACAAAAAGACATAGTGGTTATCGGGTCCATTTTATTCAGTTTAATTCACACCAATTTGCGTTATATACACCCTATTGATTATGTACACAAAATTTGAAATGGTACGAAATAATGTTTTATAAAAAGGAATCCTTCTACAACTTCAGTATCGTCATCATGATTGGATGTCCTTCATGCATCTACTGTTCTTAAATAATACTGTTATATAAACCCTCTAAATTATTTAAAGGAAATATCCATCTTTCATAAAGTAATCTTAGGATATTCAAATCCCATTCGATGATCAATCTATTCATATCTGAAGAACCAAGGAAACTAAAGTGCCTACACAGAAATCCATGTCCACTTGGGAATATGTGATATATACACATGTACTACAATATGGTTTAAAGTTGACAAAATCAAAAACACAGTTTTGTTGCGAAAGATTTTCATTTACTGTAAGAGTACTTATTTTAGCAGACACAAATTTTAGCACATTGTCGAATGATAACATATTAGCAAGTTCATGCTGCTGTAGAAAACTTATATTCGAAACCATCAAAATAGTGCAATCATGACGCATTAGCACGATGTTTAAAATTTGAAAAGAGCTAGAATTAGAGTACTGCTAAAGTCTGTATGTTTAAGTACTATCACTGTGTTTCATAAAAGCTCTCATATACAATGTATTACAAGACTCAATACACGATGTTCACCAGTACTAAGGGGTAGATGCTGATAGGACTTTAGAATCATATTATGAATTTCATGATAACTTCTGAGATTCAACACAACACATGTACTGTAGTCATAAGAATTATGAATCAGTTTACAGTTTATCAAAGTCATGACATGTTAATATACACAATGGTAAAAGCCACTCTCACACAACATGTCTAATAAATGACTACATAAAACAGTTTACAAGTATAAACACTTTCTCTTTCAGTATTTCAGCACCACATCTGTATACAGTGCTCAATCTATCAATCATGGCAGTTTAAGGATACAGATTTAAAATTGTTTTTATATTTGACCGTGAAACTACAACTCAAGCAACAAATTCAATTAACAATACCAGTTAAATAGAACACAAATGATATAAAACTCACTTTTTGTCAATTAATTTAAATATGAATATAAATATAAATATGAAATCTATTTAACTGGCATTGTAATTACTATTGCTGTACTTCCAACTAATGTTTAAAAGATCAGGTGCAATTAACAAATCGTATTTCCCTTTATTAAAATTAAATGCGATACAATGTATTTTTACAAAAAAAAAAACAATCCCCCCCCCCCCCCCATTTCAATTTAAATAAATAAATCGTTGAATAACGACTATATGCCATCTATAACTAGGAAAAGTATGCAGAGAATATACTGGCTTCATTTTCATCACATCTTATTCAGATTCCCATTCTCACTAATTCTACACTCAGATTTACTTCATTCTCACTAATTCTACACTCATATTTACTTCATTCTCACTAATTCTACACTCATATTTACTTCTGTCTCGCATACAAGTACTTACTGGTTCATTTGATGTTATAAACAATTTAACAATTCACTAACAAGCCACATAAATTAATTAGGTGTAATAATTGTGTATGCTATAAAACACGGTGTTTGATGATAAAACACAATTTTTCAAAACAAGTCTCTGTAGTATATTCTGCGCCTCTAAATGCATTTTTTACTACTTTTTCCCTTTTTTGACATTTACGTTAATTTTTATAATACAAGTTCTTGGCCTTTTAAATAAATCATATTTGAATTAGTAATTGTTTCCAACCATAGCAGTCAAAAGAGATGTGTTATGAGTTGTACCAAGCAGAGTGAGGCAAAGATTTGTTCTTCTGAGTTATACATACTATTTAAAGTTAGCACCCAGCAAAGAATGGGGAAACTGTTTATTCTGAAGATGTGCACTTAGTATTAGTGAGGCAAACATTTTACCCAACAACACAACAAGGTGAAAACCTGTTTTCTGTATAAGGAGTACTTCTTCAAGTAAGCACCAAAAAGAGAGGGTAAGAGGGCATTTTCCTAAACTACTTCAAGCTCTAATAATAGAGAGCAAAGAAGAAATTGTGTCTGAGGATGGTACACTATTTCTACTGAAAAACAGAAGGAGGTACATAATTGATTTCTGAGTATAGGGTACACTTTTATTCAGCTGAAGGAAAGAGGCAAATAATGTTTGTTGAAATGTAAAAATACATTTGTAGTAAAAATGTTGATGTTTGTGGCAAGAACCCCCTGGAATACATGTACAACCCAAAAATCTCTCCAGTTATAATATCAACAAAATGAATGCCAGACACCTTAGAATAAGATGAACCTTTCAAAGGAGATATAACAATATCTAATTGCCCATCAAATCAGTGAAACACATACTGTTTTGTCCATGATCCGAGCTATTTTGCTTACAATACAAGTTCATCATTTGAAGTTAAGTACGGAAAATAAGTACACAACACTAACATAACAACAGTTTTAGAGGTTGTTGCGACATGATTTAGATGCTAGTATCGTCTAGTATTGTGATTCATTCCTATGTGAGTGTTCATGGGCACAGTTGCATGCTGTCCTGTCAGTATTCGCTGGCCACCCATCACCATACCCGGCTGCTGCATACTGGTCATATACGTACTAGCTCCCATGTTGGAGGAAAGTCCTGACGCAGACTGTGACCCACTTCCCCAGTGACTAGATTGGTGGGCGGCATTGCGAGAGGCCGGTACTACACCTATTCAAGAAAAGACTTTAATTTACAACAGCAAATCCAATTCCAGGTTTTGTAACTGTTTTAACAGTGATACATATATATATTAATTTATTTTCGATGTTATAGCCCTTAACAAGTGACTACCTGATTAACAAAAAGAGTTAAACAGTAAATAACAGACAATGACTTTCAGACGTGTGCTTCTTTTGCCTATCAACTTTGGGTCAAGCACCCTAAAATACAAACTTGGTCAGTCATCAAAATTTAAAATACCAGGTATCTGTATAATGTACGGACAAAGTTGATACATGTAATGATGAATCTTTATGTCCAGATTAAGGAACAACATTCAAAGAAATGTTTATCCCTGGTACAAGACCAGGACATGTATGAAATTCAGTGAAAAATTACACTGTTTTTACATTGAACATGAGAGTAACTTTCACATAGTACTAACAAAGTATTGAATTCCCTTTTACTACAGTAGAAGTAGTAGTAGTAGTTTTACTTCGTTACTCAAACAAGGTATTCATAAACAGGTAACTGAACTCCCTTGGACACTATACCTGTTTTCTACTGTCAATACAACTACCTCTTAAATTTTTCAATGTCCTTTTCTTTACAAATTTCAGGAGTTTACTACTGTTCCATACATCTTGAAATGTGTGATGTCAATGTCATACACTTAATAACTTCAGAAACATAAGAAAGTTATACAAATCATAAATCATAGCGACGATGAACAATTTCTAACTGAAACAAAACATATCACGAAAAAATCTATGTAAATGTGAAAAAAATAAAATGGGACGATATATAAAAAATGTATACAATACCTCTGTCCATTTTCCTTTCACCTCTGCTGTCAAAAGTATTCCTTTGAGGTCGTCTGTCAATGTCCCGGCCTCTCTCCCCGTCCCTATATCGGCCTACATCACCATCCCGTGCTCGTACAGCTTCTCTATTTCGATCACTGAATCTAAAATGTTAACAGCAACTATTGTTAGTAACAAAAAAAGTTGAAGTATGGAAGATGGGTACGCAATACCAAATAATTCTTGTTTGGAATCATATAGATATTTTCTCACAAGACACACTCTGCATTTTTTTTTAACATTAGGGCAACTCTTGAAACAAGCTGAATGAATTGGCCATGTACGTCAAATTGAAAATAAAAATAAGTACAGAAAAATAATAACGATGACAAATACTTGTATATATATGTTCAAATAAAAAACATTCACAATATTCTGGACCAAACAGTGAAACCATCAGACAGTATATATAAGGACCATGACCAAGAGCACCCTGCTACAATAATTTTATATCATTACATTTTAGAACAGATGATTTCTGAGTTTCGTAAGATGACTTCCAACTGATAAAAAATTGTGCCTATGCATCTGAAATTTGATGCTTCAAAAAGTGGTTATTCAAGAGAAAGAAAAGACCAAGCTAATGCATTTTGTTTGATGAAAAATAGAACCCAAGTCTAAAGTACCTTCCAGGCGAGTTTAGTCTATAACGATATCACATCATGAGGATATCAGAAAATCTTACCTATCAAATCTATCTTCATTTCTATCATCTCTAAGGGAAGAGCGGGAAACTTCCCTGTCCCGGATGTCTGACCTGCCCAAGTCCTTTCTGTTGTATCTCTCCGCCCTCCTGTTGTCAAAGGCATCCCTATCAAGTCTTGTGTCATCGTATCGGGTGGGGCGTAGGTCTCGGGAGTCCATCTCTCTGTAGCTGTTGATGTTACAGGGAATAAATTAAAAACTTTCTTATTTCACCTAATTGTACAACATTTCTATATTGTATAGATTATATATAACAGCTAGCATAAACTTTCCCAGGAAATCACAAACTGCTGTATGTTCCATATTCACTTCTTTAATATGTGATCAATACTAATAACTACACACCAAACATTCTTCCTATTTACAAGTCCATTTAGAGGGGTATCAATATAACACAAACTTTGAATATGTTACAATACATACCGATCTCTTTGAAAAGAATCTGACATCAAAGATCTTTTGTTGTCCAACCATTCATCTTCAATAGATCGTTCAAACATCCGCTTCAATGCTCTTCTGTCCCTTTCTTCTTCCAACCTATCCAATAAATATTTACAAATGTTTATGACACCAAGTCACCTCATTGGTGTCAACTCAACAGGATACAGAATAATGTAAAAGGCCTCTTTTGCGTTTCTGGTTTAACCAGTTGAAACGGTTGGACTAGAAAGCAAACGACAGGTGTAGAATAATCTAGTATGAGAGTTATTCATGTTATTGACTATACATACATGTATTAGAGTATAAATGTTATTGACTATACATACATGTATTAGAGTAGAAATGTAAGACATGATGAATTGTTCCAATACAGTGTTTCATGTGAGTAAGTGAGTGTTACCATTATCAGGGAAAATCCAAACAGAAAATGTTTGTATGTATTGTCAACTGTCATGCTTGTATGAAATTCAGTTGTTTAGCATACATCTTTCCAGTGAAGCCCTTCTGTAAGAATGTAGTATTCCTAATGTATTTACCTCTTTTCACATATATTATACATTTGCATATAATACTATTTTAATGATCAACGATTGCTATAATTTATAGAATAACTTCAGTATATGTTGTTTTATCATTACCTTTTGATAAAAGATATCTTGAAAGAGCAAGACTGCATGTTCAAGGCCATCTTGTGATCTAAACTGTTGTCAGTCTGGGTCACTTAATCATTAACTCTATGGTGTATTTGAAGAGATGAAATGTTGGATCACCTTGAAAGTATGTTGTACCAAGCACTAGATTGTCAACATCAGTATGTACAGTGTGTCAGCAGGAGACCTGCTGGTTATATTTTTGTGGTAGAAATGCCAATACAGATCACCAAATTTATTTGGATTCCACAGGTACTACATTTTATATTGCAAGCGATGGGTGTTGCTGTTTTCACATCTGTGCCTTCTATGAGAATGGGTGGTGCCTTATTAACATGTTGGGCTTGCTGGCTGCCCTGTAAATGTAAGCATCTTACCGTGAGGTGTAGAGATCTGGTGGGATGCTATGATATCCTAGCATTAGGATTTTTCTGAGAAATGTAAGCTTTAAGCCGAGGTCAGGCCTTGTGTGCTATCTTTTATATGATATCTTTTTTAACAGGGTTTTGAGAGTGAAGTTATTATACACATTCATTGTATAACTCCATTTTGGTCCTGTAATATACTGAATGTTTGCTTCACAGTAATTCTTTGTTATCAAGTTTGGAAAATACTATTTAAATAGTCATTAAATAGTTAGATAGTCATGCTATGTAGAAAGATGAAGCCAAGGGCCAATACTGTAACACAACTGCCATGACAATGAATTTACCCTCTCAATCTATATACATATAGTTTTACCTAAGGCGTTCTAGCCGTAGTCTTTCTGTCCTCTCCCTGTCCAGCTTGTCTCTCTCCAACTGTTCTAATCGCAAAAATTCTCGTCTCTGAGCAGCAATTCTTTCTCTTTCTAATCTCTGCCTCTCTCGCCTAAGTATTCAATAACAAAATCAATGACAGATTGATGGCATTAATAATATACATTGGTTTGAAAACATGATATTACTATTCACATACCTGGAAATAAAAAAGGCCAGAGTCCTCCCCTACATATCACCTATGTTCTAGCAACTCATAAGAGGCCTTGCATTTGACTGAAGTATTTTTTATCGGTCTTGATTGTTTCTGGCCAGACAAATGAAAGTTAAATTCATGTTAACAATGAAGGTAATAAAAGAAAGCTTCGAATAGGATAATCTCACTCTCGTTTTTCCTCGTTCATATATGTCAAAATTTAATGCAATAGCCCACCTAAGTTTATCCCGTTCCCTGCTTAGCTTCAACGACTCCATCCTTTGTCTTATATGGATATCTTTTTGGCGTTTCTTTTCTTGCAATATCTCCTTCCTCTTCAGATCTTCTTGTAATGACTTTCTCTTCTTCAGTTTTTCCCATTCTTTCATCTTTTCTTCCTGGGAAAGATAGAAAGATCCAGACATTTTAGGATTCCATAAATCAGCTTAGCTATGAAGTGCAAAAGTTTAAGATTTGATGTTTAGTACATTATAATACTATAGTACACCCAACTTGTAGAAAAAGGGCAGCACTGCATAGCTTGTATAGTTGTATATTATAGGTATTTTATTAATACATCATGTTGAGTAGAGTTCAACTATAAAATGTCTGCTATCATGAGTCTTGGGGAACAGCCTCATTAATGCTGAATCATGTTAACATGATGGTAAATCTAACAGGGTAAATCTGATTTATCACATAATGTACTGTGTTATCCAGTAAATATACCCATGTCATATTTGTTTGAGTATTTACCATGTAATATGACCTATAAGCCCTGTGATTGGTTGTAAGTTTCAATTGTTTCAATTGTGACGTCACGCCTATGACAAGTACATGATGTCACAGACTTATGCACTGGAGTCAAAATGGTGGCTTTTTACATTTCAAGGTTGCATAAAAAATGTCGTTTTACACGAATAAATGTCACAAATCCTGATTATGTGATAAAAAGGATTTTACACTCGTTACACTTGTTTTCATTTTCTATGAAATTTATGAAATTCGTCACAAATTTTTCATTTTAGCTCACCAGAGGCTTGCTAAATTGAAAAATTCTTTTCATAAATCTCATATGAAATGGAAACTCATGTAAGATCCTATATATATATATGTCACCCTGGTAACATACTAGCTGCTTCCTTCTGACTCAACTAGACCCCGAGTTGACCTTACAATATGCGGGAAACGGAAGTGCTACTATATATTATTTCTTGATCTTGATAGGTTTAATGTGACACATCCAAGGATATTATTACACTGTGCGTGCATCAAGTAACTTACTTAGGTTGGACCCCCCTTTATAAATTACAATATCATTAAAAGTTTTAGCTGGTTCTTTTGCTGTTTGAATCTTGGTGAAAATATCCGATCGTAGTAGGTTCCAATCTTTAAATGTGTTCTTCTCTTTAGCTTGTTCGGTAGAGTCTAAGACCAGTTAACCAGAGGTTTGACACCTAGCGGTGGCATTGATAAAAAAAATGACCTCTCTTCCATCTTACAAAGTAATCAAAGCATGTGATAAAAGCCTGAAACATATCACCAGGATATTATAATTGCATAAAAAGGTACACATATTTTGTACAGTAGATCTAAGCAATAAGTGATATGATTTAAAGTCATCAAGACCATATATAACTAATGCTGGACAATGTATTCAAGAAAACGTATTGCTCATCAGCTTTTGAAAATGTGAAAGAAAAAAAATGTGTGATATATGGCATGTCAACTCCTTTACAATCATTGATATGCACTTTGAGTAAATAATTAGTTTAAGTTTTCAATACATTGCATAAAACACACCTTCATTTGATCGAAGGGTACAATTTCCTTCTCAGAGCCTTTAGTCTCCGAGGTAGCAGTTTCATCTCCAGTTGTCTTCTCAGTATCTTCTCCTACTGCATCCAGAACATTTTTTTCCTCAGCCTCTTTCCCATCAGCTTCATTACCATCCCCTTTGGAGTCATCTACAGGTTCAGCTCCCTCTGGCTTCTCAGCGGTACTGGATGCCTCAGGCTTCTCTTTCTTCTCAGGCTTAGTACTAGAAGCTTTCTTGTCACTTTCCTTCTTTGCTGGTGACTTGTGTGTCTTGTCATGTGAGCTGGACTGCCTGTTGTCCTTAGAAGCAGTGTGAGAACCAGAGGATCTGTGGGAGGATGTCCTTGACCTTGCGGAGAAGGAGGAACGACTCTGGTGGCTGGAACGTACACTGCTATGATGATATGCGTGTGACCTACTACTGGATGACACACGATGATTACTGGATCTGGAGTCTCTGTTTGTGTTACCACGAGACCTGTTCCTGTCACCTGAAGAGAAAAAAATACAATTTAAACACATTCACAAGAGGCCGAATAGGGATGTTTAACGGGATAAACTGCGATTAATCTTTGCCATTTGACAAAAGACCCTAAAAAGAACTCTAGGCTATGATGTGATGTTGTCTTTAGTATACTCATGAAGCTCCTGAAGGGGACATGTGCAAGAAATAGGCTGCTACAGTAATTTTAGTAAAATGTGAAAGTATTGAGATTGTGAAACTGACAAGGGGCTCATTGTCCAACAGCAACATGCTTGCATCTGAGTGCTCAGTATAGTAGCTTCACATTTTAAGACATCAGCATTTAACTTGATAAAACTGTTTCATCAATTGTACAATGCCCACATAGTAAGATATATGATGTATTTCAATAAGGAAGGATATAGCATATGTAAGCAGAATTCATTTGATGTCAAAATTTTAAATGAATTTTTCAGAATCTACAAAAATGCATCTGTGAAACAAACAAATAATAGAATAGAAGTTTTTTTTAGTAGTAATCACCTGAATCTCTACGACTGCTGCTGTCCTGGGTTGATCGGGGTCGGTAAGATCTCCGTTCTGTTATCTTTCTCTTGTTTCTATCCTGGTCTTTCTTATCTCCACTTTCAGACTTTTTATCTTCAAAATTTTATAAAAAAAAATACTCTGCTCATAAAACTAGGTGAAAGTTGTCAATGATACATGTTACCTGCTTCGATCAATTTCATATTTCACTTTCCATTTTAATCCAAATGAGATTCTATTCTGACAAGGCCCAAAGTTAATGTTTAAATCGCAAGGTTTAATTTAAATATAATATGAGGTTATTTTGTTTGTGGCATCATCTAGGAAAGGACTTTCTGAATATTTTGAAAAAGATTGTACTTCACCAAGTATATAGTGAATTATATGTATGGAATTCTTGTTTCAATTGCAGTTTGTATTTGCTGTGAACCTCTGTCGCTTTACAAATAATAACCATGTGCGCTTATAAATGAAGTACATGAACTGCATAGTAGTAATAATAGTAGCTACAAATACTTCTGTAAAACAGGGAACACATACCTGCAGTTTTCTCATCAGGCTTTTTTGCAGTGTTCTTTTTTGGTTCTTTCTTGGTCTGAAAACAATATTGGTTTAAGTTAATATAAGATCAGTAAACTGACATAGTTTGTGTAGTTTTTATTCCTAACAGACTAGTTTCATCTCCACCATAGCAAATGGTGCCTTAATACATTAACTGCATAAACAAATTTATTTCTAATAATTTGTCTTGGTCACAAATTAGTTATTTTATCCTAATTTATTTTATCCATTCACTCACCACTTGTATAACATGTTTGCCTTGCATCTTTGTTCCGTTCAGGTGCTGCACACTGTCGGTGGCTTCCTTTGATGTTGACATGGTCACAAAACCATAACACTTGGCACCACAGACTTTAGAACTAGCCAGAACTTTGGTTACCATCACCTACAGAAAAGTGGGACAAAATTTGAGATGGGAAACCAAATTTATAACGTGTATATGGGCCTGAGTGTTTTACTTGATAACAAAAATAGGTAGAAAATAATTTTTCAAGTTGTTTTCCATTATTTAATCCCCTTCTCAAGGGGCCAAATCTATAAACAGTCGAAACTCATTATCTCGAAGTCGACACGGTCGTGAAAAAACAATCACAGCAATTATTGTATTGTGCTCTCAATCGACTTTCAAGCCATACGAGCTCCTGTAAAAACATGAATCTGTGGAGCTGTCCTAGGTTGTGATTTTAACTGTGGAACTCTTTTATGCTATGCATGACCACGCTTTGTGACCAATGTTCCGGTTTGCACTGTCGTCTGTTTGGGTGTACGCAAAGAATACTGTTGATCAACATTGATGAAGTTTGATTTTTATTATGAACAACACGGTTTTGACCGTCTGCACACTTTACAGTCTGAAGCTTTATCGTAAATTCTTTTTTCCGATTTCATGATAGTCTAATCACGAAAGATGTTCATAAACACGGAATGGCTAGATGTAGTACTTTTGCGTTTTATTTGTATCAAAAAATTAACAAGTCACAAAATGAAATTTGAACATTATGTAGTAGACGATGTTTTGATGTTGGATTTACGCTATTGAAACCAATATCTTACTTCGAGGTATCCAAGTTTTTCGACTTTCAGGGTTCGAATTATCAGAGTTTTATTTACTAAGATAAAGAAGTTTGGCCGGGACTGGAGAAATACTTCAAGATAAACGGGGTGTCTTTGAGTTAAAAGAGTTTGAGATAATGAGGTTCGACTGTATATATGAGCTCCATTGACATGCCAATGAGATATATTGTAAGAGTTCATTCAAAGCTAAATGGTTAGATGCTAATGTTGGCTTTTAACATAGGTCTAGCTTCCTTAATTCTGAAATAAGTAAATACCCACCTTTCCATGTTTACTGAATAATGTCTTTAGGTCAGCCGCCTTTGTAGTGGATGGTAGTCCACTCACCCATAGATTGCGACTGGTGCTCTCTGGAATTTCAGGAAACAGATTTGTTATTCATCATTTAGTATACTCAAGTGTGCTTTTGCTGACAATCATCTCTCCATCCATTTCAAAGTGAAGTAACATAATGTATTACAGAATACAAATATTTAGATATCCTTCCTATTCATTTTCTGATATCAATATTACTTTTGTTAGAGAACACAGTTACCCCCCCCCCCCCCCAATTTTTTTTTTTACATATATATATATCATAAATGGCATGAAATAAACAGTGACATTAATTTAAAGAAAACAAATCATGTTCATTTTTCAGACAAGAGAATCTTATGCTGAGAAACTTACCAACTTTTCCGCTGGTCTGGCTTTCTGACTGCTTTGAGCTGAAAGTAAACAAAGAAGAAAATGAACAGTGTGATAAACATTGTAACTGGCCTCTAGATCAGTTAGGCTCGGATACCATGACATGTTGTACATACTAAACCACCATATTTAATAAAAGAAAAGTGTAACGTAAGGCTTATCTATGTAACTTCTACATTTTAATTATCATCAGGTCAACTACAGAAACAGAACTTTTAAAAAGGTAGGATACTTCAATAAGTTAAAAGTGAGATTATGACATAAGAAAATCAAACCAGTTTACAAATATTAGAACATTCAGAGCTTGCAACACAAAACATCATACAGTAGATATGAACATCATACAGGAGATATGAAATAAGATTTCAGATTGTATACAGAAAAGATGCAAATGCAACAGTAGTATGTATTAATTTAAGAGGTTTTAGTGATATATGTGGTGTAGTGGAACTGGACTTGGTCCATCGTCCGCGACCAGGTAGCTCAATTGGTAGAGCATCTGTCTAGAGTTCGGAGGGTCCCGGGTTTGAACCCTGGTCTGGCCGAGCATTTTCCATCTCCTGTTACAGTGGTATACACTTTTACAATAATGTTTGTATGTATTGGGAGACATCCCAAGGTGTTTATCGTGGTATGAAAACCTTTTTTACCTGTATTAAGCCTATCTAATTAAAAAAAAAAATCAAGAAATTTGTTAATATTCACTAATATTAACACAACCTTTCCTAACTCATTTGCTGTAATTAAATTCTGAGTTGGTAAAATTAAATAATAAAGGCTTATTATTTTGGAATAATCAATAAATCATATTTTATTTTTAATACATTTTATATCATACAGTAGTATAGTATGTTTCACAATACATGTCAAATACTGCAGTATACAGATTTGTTAGCAGTTTCCAGCACTTTGCAGTAACAGAAATATGGGCACAAATTAAACAGACACTACAAGTATTCACTTAATTGATTATAGATGGGGTTCACTATTGGAAAGGTATAAAGCTTAATTGATTGTTTTCCAGTATCAGAAATGGCTCAGAATTTTAGACAACTATCAAAAATTTAATTTAATTTAAAAAGTATACGCAAGATTAAATTTATTTGAGGTATTTTTAAAATTGACCTTTTTACAATGTGTGACCAAAATTTGTTAAGAAATGAAGAAATTGTGGCAATGCTAATGATTAACAAATTGGTTGACAAATTCTATAAATTATATGGAGACATTGGCCTTGACCTTTGAATGCTGAAAGATGAACTCATTAAGAGGTATTCCTGTACCTAACCTTTGTATGAAGTTTAATCAAAATCTTTTACGAAATGAATTCACTGGAGATAAATGGCAATTTGGAAGGGATGGAAATTTATATGTATGCCCCCCCTCCCCATAAATGTGTCCAAGTTTTTCTCCCACCTGTACATATGTAAGATATGTGTTTCAGATAAAGAACATTCATATGGGATATGTCACCTTTTACTTTTAGGACTGACAATGGCAATGGATATTGCCGTTGACAAAAGACACCAACTCACAGAAGTAAGAATTACCGGTATTGCACAAGCTTGACATAAAACTTTAAATTTAAAGGTGTATCCCAAAGGCATACTATCTTTTTCAGATCTGGCCTTACCTAGGATTACGTAGTTTATGTGTTTGTTTCTGGAAATTTTGTTATAGTTGTTGTACTTGCATGGTCAAAATTTTAGGAAAGAGTCAATCATTATGAATGTACAGGGATATGGCGATAATTTTCTTGGGATGTAGGATCCATTTTCATATCCCCCATATAGGTTATACCAACATGTGATAGACGCTTATAAAGGCTTCAAATAAAACAAAGTTTTGGTAATTTACAACGGAAGAAATAAACTGGAAGGGTCAGGAAATTGAAAGAAATGCAAATAATTATTCTACAGTTACTCCTGAAACAAAACATCCAATTATACAACACACCATCATTGTACATGAAAGCTTGGCATTTAACAGCTACGAGAAATGGTGGAATACAAACCGAACCGACCTCTTGGATTCAGACTGAGGTTTGTTGGTATCTTCTTTCTTTGCTTCTTTATCGTTACAAGAGGTGGTTTTGTTTGAGGATGTGACAGTATTGTTCTCCTCGGATGTAGCACTTTTCACAGCATCATTTTCTTGTTCCAATGTCAGTTTCTTATCTCCATCAATGGCCCCCGTCTCACTGCTATCCAAGCACTTCTCTCCCTCCCGATCTGCCGACATACTCAGCGACTCCTGCTCCTTCTGGGAGGTCAGAAGATCAGCGTCCAAATCATTCTGAGGGTCTTCTACCTGCAGAACATCACTTTCTTCTGCAATATCTTCTGACGTATCAGCTGTATTTACATCAGCGATGCTTTCAGTCTTATCAACCTGCTGAATCTCTGTCTCTTGCACAGGTTTTTCAGCTGCTTGTGCCTCAATAGCAGTTACTTCAGTGGGAGTTGATGCCTCATTTCCAGGATTGTCTGCTGCTTTGTCTTCTGCTTCTTCATCCTCACCATCACCACCATCAACATTACACGGAGCTGTGTCAACATGTGCTAGAGAAATTCAAATCACGACTTAATACCACATCATCAAAAGCATCAAAATATCAAATAAAACTGATCTTTCTTTATGTCATGAATAGAAGAGATTATGTAATATCAGGTTTGCTTGAATATCATAATTGTGAATAAATTACCCTAATGGAAAAGATAATAAGTTGAGTATAAGAACAGAGATTTCCAAACAACATTTGATGAACAAACTCTAGCTGCAAATACTGGAAAACTTCCTCAGACTTCATCCTCATCCCAACAGCTGGAAAACTTGGAAAGTTTTCATCATCTCAATTCATGAGAGGTGCCAGGCATCTACAAATACCGTCTCATAAAAGGACAAGCATATTCTCCATGGCTTCATCTACACAGCTTGTCTGGTATAACCAGCTTCTATCTGGTGCTGTTATCTCTCCCACCATCATAATTCCAGTGGTGGGATTTGGGAAGTGATAGAACACTGCTGTTAATTTTCAAAGCATTATGAAAAGTTAAACAAACTGTCATCTGAAGTTTGTGAAAAATGTGATTGCTAATGTAATTTAAGTATAATAATGTGCAACAATTTTTGTTTTGGCAAAAAGACAAATTTTAAGTTAGTTTTGATAATCATTTAATGGACCATCACAATCATATAGTATTACTTCTGGTATAACTTCTAAACAGGTCTGTACACCTGTTTTAATACTGCATCAACAATTATTTAGTGTTGCCAAAAATCAAAATTGAGCACCTTATTATAAGTTTAAAAAAAAAAAAAAATCAAATAATTACAATTCAAACAAATCCACACCAGGATCAACAACTAAATGCCAAAAATTGCTTAATGTTCAAATCTGTTTTACCTTCTAAATCAGGTTCTTGTTTGGAATGAATATTGTCAAGTTCCACCTGAAATACACAACAATTTCAAGTAGTATTTAGATTAAATTGGAATCAAATGTAACTGTTGTATTCTCCTCAGAACTCAATGTAAAAAATCTCACTAGTCCCCTGAAATATCAACACAGAAATCCCTATGAGTTTGGTATTCATGGTTTTTGCTATCAGCTTCAATACTGTCTTCAATTGCGATGAGTGTATTCAAAACACTTTATTGACCCTGATCAAAATTACATCAGTACTATTGTATATGTACATATCCGGCCAAGAATGTTACTGTTTGTTGAAAGTGGACATCTTTTTTGTCAAATTGCAATGCCTAGTTCATAAACATAATAATTAAATACTACATCAGCATACGGTACCAAAACTGATGTGGATGTGCAGTTAAAATACAAGTAAATTGGTAATGTAGCACAATTTACAAATATTGACTGGCATCAGATTTTGTGACCAACTTTTTCATCTATGAGGTAGATCACCTGGATTCAAGCTTCAGGTACATTCTGATTTCATTTGGGATCATCTATAATACATTTATTGTTGTTGGAACCTCAACTGCCATTCAAGTGCCTCAGAGCTCTAATTTTCTTGCATTTCTTTACCATTTTCTATCAAACCAGAATCAAAATCCCACCCATGGGGTGGCATGAAAAGAATCTCTGATTCACAAATACCTTCTAACAAAAACTGTTTACATAATGTGACAATATTACTCACCATATCCTCATTAATTTCAATAAACTCTTCACCAAGTTCATCTTCTTGAAAATAATCATTTTCCTGAACATCTTCCTCCTTTAAGATAAAATAAGTTATGTATTTATTGCCTGTATCATTATTACACATAAAACACAAGCATAAGGAACATCTAGCTAGTATACATGAGAACACTGTTTGTAACTACCTGTATCTGATCAGCAGTGACCTGGTCCACCACCTCCATGTCCCCATACATTAGGTCCAGTAATGATTCCTCGTCGGCTGCATTCTCTTGCTCATCATCTGGAGCTTCTGGAGAAGTTGTATCCACCACTTCCTTAAAATGGGAAAAAGGTTAAAATCATCAGATTAATCTAATTAATTTGTACAAAAACATTGGCTGCTTAAAACATTTTTTGAAGATCCTGTGTTTAAATGATAATTAGCCAACTTTTATTGTATAAAATTGTCAAACCTACCCACAATTATTGGCACTCCTCATGGTTGCTAACAAAGAAAACCATCATGGCAATTGTCTATTCATAAATAATATTTGTGAACTCATGAAAATGAAAGTCAGATATTTTTCACTTTATGTACATGTACATTAAATTTTGTTAATGATGGATTCCTGTTGAATATTTCAAAGATTCAATTAAGGTTTATCACTGAATCTGGACTTGTTTCATAATAAATGAATAAGTCTAGTCCGAATGGATTCCTGAACGATTGAAATGTCATGCTCACTCCTCAAACCCTTGAATCAAACCTCGGCAAGACTTCAGAGGTAATCCGGTGTTTAAGGATGTACTCTCTAGATCTTCGGAGGTTTCAATAACATTCAAGTCTCGCTTTGATCTTGTGTAACAGGTTGTTGTTTCATTTAAAAAGTTCTTATCAATTATAATAGCAAACATGCAGTTGAAAAATGTGTCAAAAAACTTGATGCCTGTTGTTTGTAGAACTTTTTTACAAGAATAAAAAAATGACCAATTTTAGCGGCTTTTTTGAAAATGTGTATTTCTTCCATTATATGAAAGACCAAACTTTCACCCTTTCGACACTAGATTTATCATTTAAATTGTCATTGTGTCGCAATTTTTAATTGTAACAAGTTCAGTTTTGCTGTAAAACTTAATTATGTTCAATATGATGACAACAATTACTAATATGCAAAAAAGTAGAAAATTATACATGATTGGTATTTTTTACGTGTTTAGTGTACCTGGAGCACTTTTATTTTTGATCCTGAAAAAGGTGAAAAATATCAAAATAGACACAAAAAGAAGCAATCCCATCCCCCATTTTTTTCTGTTTTAGGAAGAGAAACACATCTTTTTATTCATTAAAAATGAAGTTTAATAGCAGAACTTCTAATATTTCATACATATCTGATAACACACTTGGAAGATATTGTATGAATTTTTCAGCAAATGGTCAAAACTAAAAAAATCTCCTAAAATCATGTAAATCAGTGTTTTTGACCACAGGGGCTCGATCCGAATCGGTTTGGGATACTTTTGGTTAATAATAAACCTATACACATCAGTAAATAACAGCAACACTTTTTATCCGGTGTCTTTACACATTCTCAAACCTTATAAAGTGTACAGGTTTAAAATTAACCGAAAGTATCCCAAACCGAGCCCCTGTGTCTTTGACCGATCATAGCACAAAAACGATTTTTTTTGCATTTTTTACTATGTCATTAACCCCTTTTCAAAAATGCATATAATATATAAGAACAAAAAGTTTAATATATGAAACGATTGACTTCTCAAAGGTATATATATATCCTGAAGTGATACAGATAAACGACAGCGGCACGAATTAAAGCCGAGAACGTCAGCCATTATGATTTATGCAGATGAAAACAATTAGACGATTGTCTTTTGACCGCAATTTACGACCGGGAACACTAGAATGACTATATAATATTAATCATTACACGAATATGAAATTAATAAATAGCATGTAACACTGATAAATGTTTCATTATATGCATACCAAATCATCCATCTGCAAGTCGTCAGCCATTTTTGCCTCGAGTGCTCGATGGAGACTTCCGCTGGGTATTTTCTAAAATTATTATTCGCGGGGAGGTACTAATGACAAGACAGCGAATGACATGACGAATTTTAATACGTATATTTCACTGTACGAAACATAAATATATAAATATATATATTTTTAAATATTTATCGTAAATGCATCGTAGAGAAAATGCTGCCATGATCAAATATAAGTTGACAGATTATTTTTTAATTTGATGCAAATTGTAGTTTAATTGTTTCTCAAATTTTGCAGTCAAATTTGAAGGCATGTGCTTTTTTATCACTTGAAAGATTTTCATTCAAAGAAATATCTGTACTTTTTATCATTAAATAAAATAAATAAGGATGTAACAGCTATTTTAAATGAGATGGATTATATAACGAACGGTTAGTGCATCACTGAGGGGTGGAATCCAGGATGTTAAAGCAAAAAAACATTTTGTTAACATATGAGAATATACATGGTATTTACAATTCAAACATTAAGCCATAATTGTATCTTTACAGTGAAGTTTCGAATAAACATAAAGAATTTTATTTATCGTTCCTAAATTTGAACAAAGACACCTATAAAAAATATAATAAGTATCCATATCCTAGAGATTGAAACTGGTGAAAAAATAACAAGAGAATACCGAAGTGTCAACAAAACCATAATTTGAACTAAAATCGGTAAAACCAGGATAAAACATGACCAAAGGAAATATTCACTAGCAGATCGTTAAAAAGTACAAGGAAAATAAGATCAGGTGTTCCAGAAGGCTAACCGTCTTTTCCAGTGCTTCATATCGTTAAAAGAAATAGCATATTTCCCTGTGAGATCCTGGCGGCGACCATAAATTTTGTCCGTAGTCTTCATTAACGTTAACCTGCATCTATGGAAACCATGGTTTGTAAGTTTATCCGTCAGCAGTTGACATTCATCACGGAAGTTACTATCAAGAAAGGAAAAGTCCGTGATAGGAAAGTCGACATCGTCCCACTTATCGCACAGCTTATTAGTAAGCCGTCCCTGTTGGTCATGTTGTGAGTGAAGATCGGGGAAAGAGTAGAGGAGTAGTGGCGACCTTGATTTCTAGCTCTGGAGGGTATAGTTATTAATTAAAAAAAAAAAAAAAAACACATCGTGGATATATCTGAATGTGAAATTGAAGGACTTGGCTAGGTTTATATTACTAGCCCTAATAAGTTCATCAATAATGTCAGCTTCATTTGAAAACAAAACCAAATCGGCTAGAAGAGGGGTACAATTTGTTGCCAAAGGAATGCCTAGTCTGCTGGAACTGAACAAAAATGTTGTCAGCCAGGAGCTTAGTCATTTCCTGTTTGGCTTTTGTTGTACTGTTCACAAAATATGCAATAATTTATACAATCATATATGTAAATCGCCGTCCGCCTTCCTTTGAGAAAGACTCTCATGACAGGAGAACGAATGCATTCCTTCAGTTTGATATGAGGTGTGGTAGTTTCAAATGATTTGATAAAAGAAACATTTTTGGTAGAGAAAAATCTTAAAGATTGTTCAAAAGAACTTTTGAATTCTTCAGAATTATCCACCATGCTATCATTTATCACACTTCTTGACAGTATCACAATACGACCGCATCCCTGAAAAGTTTAGATACTGACTTTTTTACGCAACTAGAAGAGCCAGCGATAAAACGTTGTTTATAAGGAGTCTTTTGAAGTTTCGGAATCCGATACAAGCGATATAGAGGTAGGTCCGTATCCTTATCATTAGCGGGCAATGGAAAAAATGTAATATAGAAGCGTGTTTTGCTAGTATATCGTCTCAAAATTTGAAAATATATATATACAAAGCGTGTTTGAAGTTATCTAGCAAGCCTATATCTTGCAAGCAGGTAATTCAGATGCATTGTCTGCAGACGTAACTACAAATGTACAGTACGTACACTCAGTGAGCGTTGTTTGGACACAGGAGTCAAATACAGGCTTGTGTTTTGTTTTCATTTTAGATTATAAGCACCTACATTCTGTAATGATTGACCTGATAGATTTAACCTACTCTGAAAGTGCTCTCGTTTTACCCACTGTCTGCTGTAGTCTTCCACAGAATCCATATTAAATCTTGACATTTACATTCCGGATGGAAAGTATGAGTCTCCCGATACTTAAGACATTCATGAAAAGCTCTCGTAGCTTTGCATCATGGATAAAATTCCGATAGCCCGAGGTCGTCTAAATTCAGCTACCACATAGCGGTTTTTGCGTTTAGTAGAATAGCTTAGAATCAATTGGTTTTAAATATGTAACTGAAGTACGGCGGTATGTTGGCTTGGACTGGCTTCTGATGTAGGATGCTATGGATGTTAATGGCATCTTTCTCCATGTTGGCGAATTCCACTTTTATGAAATCCCGCATTACCGAAGTCATGTATATCATGCAGTAGGAACAGGTCATCTTCAATGCATTTTCAAAGTCTTCAAGCTAGTGTCCAACTGTCATCAGGAACAGTTTTAGTAGAACAGATACGATATTTTTTGAACAGAACAGACACGAAAAGTTTTAGTAGAACAGACACTCTTTTAAAGTTCATAATACAGGGAGAGGAAGCGAATACAGAGTCAGTATATGGTTCGAACATGGTAAACACCAAATGGTTTGTCTAGAGTTTCCATCAGGTCATTGTAACGTCGATGTCAATGACTACGTTTGCGTCTCGTTTAAGGAGTTAAGACATTACATTTAGTATGACTGTATCCTAAACTAGACAAATTTCCGACAGAGTCCGCATGGTCATTGAATCCATAGGGCGAACCTTGTCAAAAGACTTATGTAATGGTCATCTCGGTGTCTACGATACGGGGTATAAGTCTATGGTTTTTGATTGAATACTCCCCCCCCCCCCCCCCCNCCCCCCCCCCCCCCCCCCCCCCTAAAATACGAACGGTCATAGACAGAAAAGAATGGTCAGGGAGCAGGGACAGTATTCACTATACGTCCCTGTCAGGGAGGTAGAAGTGTTTATAAAAACATTGCTTTTGGTTCACTCCCGAACGCCGACCATTCATTTGGCTGTCGTAATTGTCCTTTTGTTTCATATATATACCAAAGCACACACTGACAGAGCAGACTCAATACCATCCACAACATTGGAGAAGAAAAATCCTCGGCAAATTCGCATCTGCTAAGGCCACAGAGTCATGTCCTAGGCAGCCGTTACTTACTACGACCACGGAATCAGATAAGATTATCGAAGCACATATTTCCTTCAAGTATATATAAATTTAAATTAAACTTAAAGAGATGTTAATAAATTAATATAAATTTAAATTACCATGGTAAACTAAAACAGATGTTAATAATTAATATAATTTTAAATTGCAGGTTCCTGGCACTGTCTGAATCTTCGGCAAGGGGGGCATGCGTGCCGGTTCGATACCGAAACATCTACTGGTGGACCTGACTGCCTACAACCCAGATATTGTAGTCATCCAACTAGGAGGAAACGACATTGCAGCGACATCATCCCCCAATGACATTTTCCAGACACTCCTCAAACTACAAACAGACCTACAGACTGCTGGAATCAGGGAGGTGTACTTTATCAAGATAGTGCCACGTGGAAATTTTGACAAGTCCCCAGGCCTGACAGCGACATCTTTTAATAAACAACGCAACAAGATTAACCGACTCATGAAGACCAGACTCAACTACATCAAGCTGCGAGTGAAATTTCAACAAGACTATGACTGTGATCTAGTCCATTTCAACAACTCAGGACTCTTGACCCGGTTCCTTTCTCTTAGACGACCATTTTTCAGGTGTTGACAATTTGTAGGATGTATGTTTTATTAATTTTGCGTTCATGTATTACAGTGTGAAATAGTGTGTTGTTGAATTTAATAAAGATTTGAATACATATATGTTTTCGTTTTTCATCGTAATAGAATTTTATTGATTGTATGTAAAAGTATTAAAAAAAGAACTGAGATGAAATATTTAAGAGTAATTAATATTTCCATTAAAGATCTATAAGTGTGAGATTTACATATAATATGGTCACGTCGTATCATTTTGAATTTTAATTAATTTCTGTTTCAGAGCTGTGAGTAAATTATTCTATGTTTGCACTCATAAATAAATTGTTTATACACGTGTAATTAATTATTATTTTCATTGTCTTTAATGTTTTTGTAAATCTGTTTATTAAATAAAATTAATATATATTAATAATATTTAAAAATGTGTTATTCTCTTTAATCAGGGACGTATATAATGTCCCTGCTTTAATGTTTCTGTGATTGATATTTAAGTAGAAATTCTAAAATTAATCTAAAAATTTGTTCATGTCTAACAATTTAAAATTGTAATTTATTCCATATTTACATGCATATTTTTTTTTTGCCCACTCAAGTACTAGTCATGTCTTATTAATTGCTATGGCGTTTTTTGCAAATGTACGAGTTACTTCCCTTGAAATTGACTTCTGAATCGCGAAGAAATATTTTGTCGATATCCTAACAAAATAAACATTTTTTTAAGAATGAAACTCTACCACAACCAGTAACTTGCATATACCAAAGGAAAAACACAGTTATTTGCTGAAAATAATTCTTATATTTTGCTATGGCGTGAAAAAACACGTATGGCGCTAATTAGTGTAAAAGTGCTTCGTAATCAAGATCGATTTTCTGACAAAGTACACATTTTTTTTTAAATGATACTTTACCAAAACATGTTAAATGAGTATACCAATGGAAAAATCGAAATATTTTGTGGATATAACACTTATATTTTGCTATGGCGTGCAAAAACTCCTATGGCGCAAATTAGTGTGACCGCATATCAGTATAGCATATGTGTATTTCAGACATTTGTAACGAACCCCTGTGATAGAAACTATGCTTCGACTATATCGGGAAAGAAAATATTATATCCGTCATTCCCGATCATGTCATTAGGAGGGTCCATGTTCCCGGAATCGCCATTCGGAACACAGCAAGAAAACATATAATAGTACTACTTTCATATTTAAACACGTAAACAGAACTTTGGTTAGACGTTATATCAGCTTCTTTTCTCGGAAATATTTCATGAGTTTTGCCGGTATCCCCATCATCTGCAGCGGAAAGTAACATATGATAGGTTGACAACATCCGAGGTGTTACGAATGATTAACCTTAACTTTCAACGTTATCTATTGAAACGCAATGTCTGTGTATTTTGTGTGAAGTGCGTGTATTAATTACAATCATGTATTCAATCAGGATAATGATTCGGGCTCGAAGCACAGCTGCTGTTTCTGGTGAACTAGTTCCGTGTTTATCAGTTTATTATTAAGTAAATCGACATCAGCAGAGGTAACCGTTTACTTTTTTTATGTTCCTGCTTTAAAAAAAAAATTAAAATGACAACAAAGGTTATTATGTTGTCTTACATTCTCTGCTAGTTAATCTAATTGATAATTGCCCAATATTGGTTTTAACTTTTACTTTAAATATGATTCTATGTTTTAGATTATTGAATATTTTACTGTATGTTTCACATTCAAATATAAGAAAAGTATTATGTGTACTTTTAAACTGACCATCATGTTTTAATGGAATAGCAGTTTATTTTATGAATAATGTCCACAAATGTATCAAATAAAGTATAACACCAATATTCAATTTTAAAATTATACNCTACTAACCCAACTTTAAATAAATACGAATTTGTTGTTAGAATATGGTGATTAACCCTAAATTGAAACCATTGCAATTTTGTATTTTTTGTTTTTAGCTGAATTAATATTATTATTATTATTATTAAATGTAAAAATGCAATGTACACCAGAAGTAAACAAATCATTATTGTATATAATTAATTGATATGAATATAGAGGCTCACAGCCTGCATCCATTATTTTCGTATTAAATCGTATTAAAAAAAGTATTTCATCTTTAACTAAAAAAAAAATCTGCTTATTTCAAGATTTGCTGAGTTAGCAAGGCAAACATTTTGTCTGCAGGTTAGATGGGACACTATTTTTGCTGTCATACAGAGAGAGCTGAAAAAATGTTTTCTGTGTTAAGATGAAGAGTTAGGATACTCAGGTCAGCTGTTGAGTGGAGCAACTCAAATTGCTTGTTCTGGCCATGGTTATGGTATACTTACAAATTCTGTGTTGACTTGTAAGAATAGAAGAATAATCATGAGAAATAACAGCAGATTATATTATCTACTATTAACAAAATGTATACTTATTTCAGACAGTACAATGATACAACAGGGCAATACTAAACCGACTGTGGATGGCTGGAAGGAAGATAAAACCCTTGGTTCTGGAGGGTTTGGTACTGTAGTTCTGTGGAAAAATGAGGTATATTTCATTTTTCAGTCTGAGTCAATGTTATAGGTTAATGATGTGTGTTTATATAAAAACTAGACAGCTGTAGGTCACAGATCTTTGTTTTAACTACTTAATGTGCAAACCCTCTCTGATTTGCCCCACTCTTAGAAATTATGTATCATAAAGTGCAGATGAATAGAAGTTGGAGATCATAGCTGTGAACCACTCTCATTATATATAATTAGGACGGAGATTTTCCTCAATTTAACTAACATTTACGAAACTCCTTCAAAAATTCTCATTCATTTCGAAGCTGACAAAAAGTTAAAATATATATCCGGGTGTCAAATTACTTGCAGTTGCTACGCAAGCATAGTGTGTTAATTGATGTCATAGGAAGGATAAAAGCGATTTTGTTGTTGAACATAAAAAGGGTGAAATGATTGTTGCAGACATTTTTTTTCACAAATTTCCTGCATTATTTAAAAAGCAAAATTGATTGTCAACCCTTAAACAATTCTTGTTTGGTTCTTGTAATGCATGCTTGATTGTAGTGGTTCTAATTTTAGGAAACAAATGAAGCAGTTGCTATCAAACGATGTAGAGTTCAAAATGAGATGACTGACAAGCATCGTCAGCGATGGTCTTTGGAAGTAGATATTATGAAACGCCTTGATCATCCAAATGTGATTTCTGCACGAGAAGTGCCACCAGCTTTGGATGTGAAAGAAAATGAACTGCCATTGCTAGCTATGGAGTATTGTTCTGGAGGGGACCTCAGGAAGGTAAGTGTTTTCTATGTATCTGACAATATATTGTTAGCTCACCTGCCCGAAGGGCAAGTGAGCTTATGCCATCATGTGCGTCGTCCGTCTGTCCGGCGTCAACTTTTTGCTTTAAACAACCTCTTTTCAGTAACCAAAAGGCCTAGGATGATGATATTTAGCCAGTAGCATGCTGGGATCAAGGGCTACCAAGTATGTTCAAATAAATGACCTTGATCCACTTTCAAGGTCACAGGGGTCTAATATGTTAAAATCTTCAAACAACTTCTTCTTAATAACCAAAAGGCCCAGGGTACTGATATTGGGCCTGTAGCATGCTGGGATCAAGGGCTACCAAGTTTATTCAAATAAATGACCTTGACCCACTTTCAAGGTCACCGGGGTCAAATGTCTTTAAAATCTTCTTCTTCTCAATAACCAAAAGGCCCAGTGTACTGATATTGGGCCTGTAGCATGCTGGGACGAAGGGCTACCAAGTTTGTTCAAATGAATGACCTTGACCCACTTTCAAGGTCACTGGGGTCAGATATCTTAAAATCTTCAACCGACTTCTTCTCAATTACCAAAAGGCCCAGGTTACTGATATTGGGCCTGTAGCATGCTGGGATGAAGGGCTACCAAATTTGTTCAAATGAATGACCTTGACCAATTTTCAAGGTCACATGGGTCCAATGTCTTAAAATCTTCAAACAACCTCTCAATAACCAAAAGGCCCAGGGTACTGATATTGAGCCTGTAGCTTGCTGGGATCAAGGGCTACCAAGTTTGTTCAAATGAATGACCTTGACCAACTTTGAAGGTCACTGGGGTAAGATGTCTTAAAATCTTCAAACAACTTCTTCTCAATAACAAAAAGGCCCAGGGTACTGATATTGGACCTGAAGCATGCTGGGATGAAGGGCTACCAAGTTAGTTCAAATGAATGACCTTGATTGACTTTCAACCTAATGTCCTTGTTCGACAATCAAGGTCACAGGCATCATATATTTAAATCTTTTAATAGGTTCTTATGAAATCTTAAGATTACAAGTGTTAGATTAATACCAGGTGAGCGATGCAGACCCATTGGGCCTCTTGTTTTTATTTTGCCATCTAACCATACAGGGTTTTCCCTTTATCTGCAATTACAACAACTATAACTTTCTTTGCAACATAGGAGCTCTTGCATACTGCTTTGAGATGCCTTGTAATAAGTCTACATGAATATGCTGGTTCAGAATTTAGCCAGAATTTATAAAGAAGCTTTTTTACAGGTATTGAATAAACCAGAGAACTGCTGTGGACTGAAAGAGTATGCGATCCAGTGTTTGGTTGCGGATATAGCTTCAGCTGTTGAGTACCTCCACGGCAAGAGGATTATTCACAGAGATCTCAAGCCAGAAAACATAGTGTTGAGTCTTATAGAGGAAAAGGTATGTTTACTGATACATTTGATATACAGGTATGTCTCTCTAATACCTTGATGATGTAAAAGTCTCTATATTGTGTGAAAATGCTGATTCCTATGGTAATAGCATTGTTACCAGACCAAATACTTCAATTGCTCTGTGTGCATAACCCTTTACCCATCATCAGAATCTCAAATATATACAGCATTTGAGTTTCAAGATTATATAAGTATGATCAAGTTTTCAAAATATGCTCGGAACGCCTTGCAAGCTACCAATGATACTATCTTAACATGCTTGTTTATCACCTATGAACTATTGAAGCTACAACAACTCCCTTATGAGACATTGCTGCTTGGCACACTGGGCATTCCTTGCCCTCAGAAGTGTATATATATAGTTCTCTGTGTGTATCTAATTGATAGTTTGGAGGATGTTGACACGTCTTGTCATAGTGAATGCTTTCTGGGCCTCCTTCAAGTGGCACTCTGAAGAAGAAAAAATATGTCTTTCTCGTTAAAAATCTTGATAATTATCCAAATTTTCAATGCCAAAAATAATGATAACAGGCAAAATGTAGGTATCTGATCACATCAAAACTTCTTCTGACTCCAAAAGGGATCTTTCTCGTCACTAACAGCAGTCCCTGTTCACATCCGTCTAGTCAGTTAACTATTATTTTGTACCTTTATATATAAAACTGATGACAAGTTTCCACCTGTCCATTCCAGATTGTTTACAAGCTGATCGATCTAGGATATGCCAAAGAGTTGGACCAAGGCAGTGTGTGTACATCATTTGTTGGGACGTTACAATACCTTGTAAGTCTACTCCTATGATCAGTTGGAAGACTTTACCACTGACAACAACAAAGTTTACAGCTTTCTCGGAGAAAATCAATTCTCAATGCTGATCCATATAGCTCACATTGCTAAAACAGTATGGCTAACATTTATAAAGGAACAACTCAAATATTTACCAATACATACTTACTTAAGCAGCAAATAAAAGAAATTTCAATGATTTTTATCATGCAACAAACAAATAATCCTATCTTCTAAAATCTTGTTTAGAAATTACCACATTTTCAATTTTTCAAATTTGTTTAAAGGTATAAAAGCCATATATGACAATATACGTGGTATATATATTTTCAGTGAAGTAGATTGTATGTTCCTCCCTTCATTAACTGTAAGAAATAGATTAACTTAATTGAGTAATATAGTATAAAATGTAACTCTATCTTGCTACATTTCAATATTTTTTTTATACATTTTGTTACAAAACATTGTCAGATTGGTTCTCAGTAAGTTACTTTGTTATACAATGTAAGTGTATATTAAAATAGCATGTGACAGGCCCACAATATTTACTGTCCTGCCTCTAAGGTATTCTTGTTCATACCAGTTATGCTGAAAAAATACTGAAAATAATTTTCAATTTTGTCTTGAAGGCTCCTGAGTTATTTGCCAGTCAGAAGTATACATGCACAGTGGACTACTGGTCATTTGGGACAGTGGTGTTCGAATGTATCACCGGCTACAGACCATTCCTACCATCAACACCTCCTGTTGCATGGTAAATTGACAACCTCAGCAATGTACTACAAATGTAAACATTGTTACCTTACAACATTAACAAACCAGGCAACTTTTAGTAACTCGTTACTAAAAATCTGCTGAGTAGCCAGCTAACTGCTTAGTTTGGGTAATCAAACAATAAACAACATTTACCTCTAAGATGAATGGATCATTTGTTCAGCCATAATTAATCCATGTGAAATACAAAATTATGTAGTACAATACAAGGGGGGAAGTCAGGCATCAGTTAAAAGTGAGGTTTAGTATTGTTGATACACAACTGCCGTTCAATCATTTGTTCACCAAGAAATATAAATATAGCTATTACTTAATTGAGTTTGTACAATTTCATTTCTTCTCTTAATTGATTCAAGCACTAATCAATGTCGTTATGTGGGTGTCTAATCATCTTTGATTATGTGTTAACAGCCAGTGAAATATATTCAACAAATTATTACAATTTAATTCTGAACAACAATATTATTCAGCCTCCTGTTTAAATATAACTATATGTATGTGTACTTGGTTTTGTGGTGTTGTAATTCAAGGCACAAGGAAGTTTGTCAGAAATCACCAGAAGATATTTCTGCGATTCATGATATAAATGGCGATGTTAAGTTTTCCAAGAAACTTCTGTACCCTACCAGTCTGTGTAGGTAAGTGTGATGTGAAGGTGCTCACTGTTACTGTATCTGAAATAGGCAGAAAAACACGTTTCTCTTTATGTTACGTTCCGGTTAATATCATGTTTCCCTCTGATAAATGAGAAGTGATATAAAGTGAAGTATACTGTATAACCCATTTCTGGTGTAGGTTAACGTTGATATTATTTGTCCTGAAGTAAGATTTTTTTTCTTATCTGCAGGCAAATTTATTTCTGCTTGCCTGACAGAATACTAGCATACCGTTTTATTACTTAATATCAAATAAACAATGGAAAGGCAAAATAGCTGTGTTTCCGTCAAAAGACCATGATATCATGTCAAATTCCTTGTGGTTTACCTGTATGTATGTAATACATTTTTGTCCAGTATATTTCAGCTCTGGGCAAGTATATGTACTTTTTAATTTCTTCTTGCCCAAAGAATCAGTGCTCTAGAAAACTTGATTTTGTGCTAAAACAGTTTCATTCATTCAGCAAATTCAAGAAAACCAATAAATCAAAACATGATAATGAAGATTTTAATAAAACTACACAAGTGTATTATAGCCTGACTTGTATTGGTTGACAGAACACTCCAGGTTTATTTTGAGAAATGGTTGCAATTCATGCTGCGATGGGACCCAAAGTCGCGTGGTGGGGGTCTGCTGGACGGGCGACCGCGCTGCTTCAGTTTGTTGGATTCCATGCTAAACATGAAGGTATCTGGTGTATATTATCAGTACTGGTGATATTCTCCAGATGATTCCATCAAAATAATGATTGTGAAATATTTTTTGTAATAGATTCTTAACATGTGTTCACATGAAGGTAAACATTGTTTGACGTACATGTTGTAATCTACAGTTTATGTAGGTCACAACATGTTTAGGTGTTACAATGTAGTTCACAGCATCTTCAGTGGTTGTTAGTATATTTTCATCATATTTTCAGCAGCTATTAGTATACATTGTTCACATCATTGTTCACAGTTGTTAGTGCATATGTAGGGGCCTGTTCGTTTATGTGGAACAACCGGTTTGTCCGTTTTTAAATGTAACAATTTCTGGTATACATCCTGGCGGACCTGCAAATGTTTATGCAGGCGCGGCCTTGCAAGGCTTTGTCAAGGCTCGAACAACTGTGATCTGACCGGTTCAACCATTTAAAGGAAAGTGGCCTTGGTCACAACATTGTTAGTGGTTGTTAGTATATGTTTGTCACCCTGGTAAAATACTAGCTGTTTCCTACCGACATGGCTTGGTAGAATTTCTCTTTAGCTCATTCGGTAGAGCATAAGACTATATATATATAAGTGAACCAGAGGTCCTGGGTTCAATTCCTAGCAGAGGCATTGAAGAAATAATGACCTATGTTATATTGGCGCCCATGTAGGGACCCGGGTAATGTTGACAAACATATTCAGTGATATAAGGACTTTCGCAAAAATCACAAAAACCACTGGAAATGGAGTATGTCACCCTGGTAAAATACTAGCTGTTTCTGCTCAGCAAGGGAAAATTTCTCTTTAGCTCATTCGATAAGCGTAAGGCTAGTGAACCAGATGGTCCTGGGTTCGATTTCCTAGCGAAGGCAATGAAAAAATAATGACCTATTTTAGTAGTTAATATATGTAAGTCACAACAGTGTTAGCATTGTTAAATTAGGTCTTCCACTGACTTCATGTGTACACAGTTTGAGAAATTATACCGTTTTGAAATATTAAGAACACTAATATTTGTCACAGTCCGTTATGTCTGTGAATTTTTCTCTGTGCTGAATCTCATTAAAAGTTTGGAGCTGATGTTACAATGGTATAGTTCATATTGTGTATTGTCTTAAATTTGAAATTAATTTATCTATCTTTCGCTATTTTATGTCATGTCAAGGGACTATCTAATGTTATATTATTGTATATATGCAGAGTTGTGTATTAATTTGTATGTTATCTCACAGATTATCCACATTCTAAATGTGGCCACCAACCAGCTGCTGTCATATCCCCTGACTGAGGAGTTCTCCATGCAGCAGCTGATGAAAGTGATTGAGCAGGAGACATCAATCCCAGTTAAGGAACAAGATCTGCTACTGGCCAGTGGTGCCTCACCTGACCCTAAGCAGTCTGCCGCCCAGTGCTGGATTAACCCTGTAGGTACCTTACTTTATTCCTACTATAGGTACAGCACCAATTTTACTAAAACTACACAATCTTACCCATCACATCAAGCTAGATCATAAAATATTTAATTTTAACACTGTCTTGTTTCATTGATATTAAATGAGCTATGGCCCATGATATATATATCACCAGACAAATCCTTGCCCAGTATACTATGGCTAAAGTAAACAATGTATCAGTCTTTTGTTTAAATTAGATACAAGTGTTTTGTTAATATATATCTATCTATAAACAGTACAGTATTTGTTTTAGATTTTGAAATTACTACTTGTACATTTCTATGACTACTCTTGATTTCAGAGTGATGAAGACTGGGTGGTATTCCTTTTTAAGAAAGGCGGATCTTCAGAGATTCCAACTAAATTTAAACCGCTCCCCACACGTGTGCAGCACATTGTGCGAGACCCAACAACCCTTCTACCACATCCGGTTTGAAACATTTAATTCCTTCAAGTTATTTTATTTATTCGCATCTCTTCTTTATTTAGTACCATACCTTGAAAAGCAGAAAGGCAATAAAGGATAAAGTTAAATCCATTTGCCTATTCCATATTTTTAGCTCGCCTATTCGAAGAATAGGTTGGCTAATGTAGTCACCCTGGCGTCGGCGTCCCACCTTCCGAGGTTGAAGTTTTTCCCAGACAGTGTTGGATCATCACACTTAATACACAGTTGTCTATTATAAGTTTAAGTCATTTATATCGAGTGTAAGCAATGTTATGGGCAATATTTTCATATTTTATGGCCCAAAAACAGCTTAATAAGACTTAGTTAAATTTGAGGTTAAAGTTTTTGGGCAAGTTTTTCCCAGACAGTGTTAGATCATCACACACAATACACAGTTGTCTATTATGAGTTTAAGTCATTTATATTGAGTGTAAGCAATGTTATGGGCAATATTTTCATAGTTTATGGCCCAAAAACAGCTTAATAAGACTTAGTTAAATTTGAGGTTTAAGTTTTTGCGCAAGTTTTGTTGGGTAGTGTTGGACCACCACCATCAATAGGCTGTTGTCTATTATAAGGTTGAAGTATTTGTATAGAGTGTAAGTAATGTGTTGAACCATATTTTCATATTTTTACGTCCAAAAACAGCTTTATTGGACTCTGTTAATTTATTAACAAACGNTGGCATAGAGCTCATGTTTGGTCCTGTTTCAATCCCAAAGGCAAGATCCACTGGTAAACGAGGATTCCGTCCAAACATGAGAAAATATGGGCTTTGTCCTGTTGACTCTTGACAGGTGCAGTTATATGCATGAACCATACTGGTGACATGAGCTTTCCAGTTCTGTTTCTGGTCTGATGAAAGTGTTCCCAACATTCCAAGTAAAGTTCTGTTGAAACGCTCACAGAGTCCATTCCCCATCGGATGATATGGAGTTGTATGTGATTTCTCCACTACGGTGATTTTACATAGCTCCTTCATCAGGTTACTCTTAAAGTCTGGTCCCTGGTCAGAATGGATCCTGTGAGGTAATACGTAGTGTACAACAAAATGGTTAAAGAAAACTTCTGCAGTTGTTCGAGCTGTCATGTTTTTAGTTGGTACAGCAACGGCATAATATCAACACATATAAATAACATACTGGGCACAACATAGAATATAACACAGAGTATTTAATTAATATAAAATACAATAAAATATGACTCTGCTACAGTAATGGTTCAGATATATTTGTGTGTTATAGTACCTTAACAATTCAAATATATTTGTGTGTGGAATACCTTTAAAATTCCAAAAGAATTGCTGATGCTTCTGTTTAGCAATTATGGGGATATATTATAAGGTAACACACCAGGCATGGCCCTTGCTGACCTGTAAGTGTTCTAGATTTCAGATATTTGGTTTCATGAATAACTTCCTTTGACTTTCTACAGGAGCAGAAGAAGGCATGGGCCGAGTGTGTATTTTTCTGTGCTGAACAGGTGGTTGACTATAAGCGCCTGATCCTCAGTCAGAGGGCAGCCATGTAAGTAATTTACTATAATAATATACAGAATGTCAGAAATTTCAAGTCCCAGCAATTACTTTACATCAATACTTTTTACCTAATCTTTGCATCCTTAACATGAAGATACAATGTACCGGGTAGTATCTTTTGTTCATTTCAACTTGTGGTACTGTTATTCCTGAAGAAATGTAATGGAATAATTGATAGTAGAAAAAGGTACATTTCAGGTGTGTTTGACTGATCAAATTGACATTTTTAAAATTCATACATTTTCCTCCGTTCTTCTAAATAGTTAGTTGAAAGACTTGATTTTCTAGCTAAAATGTTGAAAAGAAAATGATGTAATGAAAGTTGTCTATTTAAATAGGCTCAGTCTGCTGAGGACTAATTCAGATTTTATTCGTCTGAAGTCTAAGATGGTAAACGAGAGCGATTACATGATGGCAAAGATTAAATTTTTCCAACAAAGGTAAGAAGAGAATATCTCTGGCATACATATAATGGAATTATTTGTTTGGAAACACTGCTCTCTGTTGTTACTTCCAATCAAACATGGGTGGTCAGGTGGCGCAGTGGATAACACACTCACCTTTCCTTAAGGTGACCGGGGTTTGATTCCCTGATATGACATGAAAAGGTATAGGTCTATCTGCCCTATCACATGTGTTTTCTCAGGGAAATCTTGTTTCCTCCCACATTAAGACCCCCAATAATAACTAGTTTAATAATTGGTGTAAAATAGATAAAGTTTATATTTTTTACATTTTCTAATCAAACACATGAAAGCAAGCTTTGAAGTACCTTTAGAGTACTTGTAGTTCATGCGTGAATGCATGTGTTGTGTTTAATAGAAACAGCAAGTTTTCCTTGTCATTGTTTACAGTGAAAATGGCAATGGACTTAAATGATATAAAAGTCACACTTAAATTGAAAAGTAATTAATCAGAATAAACTGAAATCTGAACTGTAATTATGTAGATAAAGAAGTTACTATACTGAAACAAATGTATTAGGTTGTAGAGGATAGAATGATAAGAAAATCAATATTATTGGAAAAGAAAATGAGAAGTACCTAAGCCCCTTTGACATAAGCATAAGTTTTGTAAGAATTGTCTGAATACCGAGAGAAGTAAGTGGATCTATTGCAGCAGAACTTGTTCTATTCTGCTTTATCTAATCATACCTACAAATGACAGTGATTGTCCATGCTACCATGAGCATACTCTAGTGTAAAAGTATACACATGTGCCACTGACCTAAAGCGCCCACAGTCTCAAATTGCATACTTTTTTTTATATAGTTTTCAGATTGGATTACAAGCATATTAACATTTTTGAAAAAGTTTATTATCCATCACTTATGATGAATGTTGATAGACTTCAGCAACTGATACTAGTGCTGGTCCGATTAATCAATTTAGTCGACGTCTGGTTGTTTGTTTCTGAAAATTGATTAACCGATCCTTGTTTTCCATGATCAATTATAGTTTGACTAATTGAAGTATTAACAAAAAATAAACTTGGAGACTCGTTCTTGGGCAAAACAACTTGATCGAACATCTCATACAACAACGATGCTGATTGACTAGCCGGTCCACCCGACAACCAATCAGAACTTGCATTTCAATAGAAATGCCGCATGGCTCAGTCATTGCATGACAAACCAGGACATTCTGGAGATTAAACTCTATGATCATTCGGGGGGGATGATCATAGAGTTTAATCTCCGGAATGTCCTGGTTTAATACTTATTTAAACATTTGGAAGGTATTGTTTGTCCTTAGCTGGATATTTATTAAACGCTTTGTCGAAAGTGTGGGCTATCTTACAAATAAAATGTTAAGTTTGACGGAGTGTCATCTGGTGAAAACCAATCCATCGCAGCATTTCTGAATATGAGATGCAGCTGTCACAGCATAATTGACATCGAAACACCATCAATTTCATTTCCAAATACATATTTTTCAATAATTATAAGGTTCTGTCAACAAACTTATTTTTTTTGTATGAATGTTGTGTGTTATTAGAGAAATTCTCTAACCTCGAGGTTTCCCCGTTAACAAATTCGAAAGTGAAAGTAGATTTTGGAAAGCGAATATAACCTTAAATTACTGAATTTAAGTTCAATTTGATCAATCATTAGTCGATCATCAGTCACTTGATTGGAAGTGATGATCGAGTATGAATTTACAAGCGATTCCCAACACTAACTGATACCATTTTTTTTTATATTTTTTTTCAGTTTAAGACATGATATGGCATGCTACAAGGACCAGCTGTCAAATGGGAACCTAAGTAAGTTTAACAGAAAACCAGCTAGGGCTAGCTTTGAGTTACCTAGTAACAGCACTTCCTTTGTTAACATATGTGCATGCATGTTTTAGGGGCCGTGTGAGCTTATGACATAACACATTAAATGGGGCCCTTACAATAACTATTTAAATCCTACTTCTTCAGGATGACTAAATGGATTTTAAACTTTCATAATGAGCTTCCTGGCCAAGGGGAATTTAATATTATATATTTTGAGGGTATTGCTATCCGTGGGGACACGAGGGCAGGGCCCAAATGGGGATATAAAGGTAAAATCTATTTAAAGTCTTTCTCTTTTAGTACAGATAAATGAACTTTGGTCTAGATCATTCGTTAGTTGAATAAATGGAGAGTGTTGTGATGCTGGAGGCAGAGAGATGAGGCCCTATAATGACAGTAAAGACGAATATTTAAATCCCACTCCGTCAGCATCGACTGAGAGATTTAACCATTTTTTTGTCGGGAGCATGCCTAGGTTAAGAGTACTCAATAGTCTGAAAAGGGTGGGGGCCTGCACAGACTGGCCTCATCCCTGATGAGTTAATCCCACAATCATAAAATAGGCCCTATATAGACACATAAATAAGAGTCTTAACCAAATTTATGTAAAAGATGTGTACTTGATCCTTGGGAGCTTACCAATTGTTTTGTATATAGGAAGTATATATGTAGCTCCTCTGGAAGCTGAAAGGGACTAATTTTGATCATCTAGACTAGTTGATAATATTTTAACCAAATATGCTATGAGTCATTCTTAGGACCAGGGTATAAAATCTTACATGAGGGAAGGTTGTTTTCTCCATTAATACTGATAGGTAGAGCCAAAAAATGGAAAATATTTGGAAATTGTATTACATTGTACTTGAATTGGGATATTTTGCCCGATTCCTTGAATATCCAGGTGTCAGAGTGATAAAGGCCCTAACAACCTCTTGATCATTGACTTAATTACTGAGTATAAAATTGATTTATTCCTAAATAGTTTGGAGCCATTTTAAACTATCTTGATCAGATGACATTATTATTCAGTAAAAAACATTCCTTTGTCTGCCAATGTTGTTCTGATCAGGAAATATTTAACTATGATAAATTTCTGAAAATGATTTTTAATGTCAACCATTTTCTTTGTTAACATGTATATGCAAGTTAATGGATTATTGTTTTCATTTTCAGCTGACTCTGGTGAATTGTATCAAAAGTGGCTTCAAAGTGGTGAAGACATGAACGAATATGGTGCTATAGTAAGTTACCAAGCATGTTGCTGGTGGTGAGGTTGGATGTTTGTGTGTAATGGGCATTGGGGCTGTGTATTTGTATGTAGTGGGGTGATATTTTAGTGTTTAGCCAGAATGGTGTTGTGTGTAGGAGGCTGTGTGTTGTCTGGTGTGTGGCTATGTATTTATGGGCAGTGGGGATGGTGTTGTAAGTTTGTGTGTGGGGCTATGTATTTATGTGCAGTGGGAATGGTGTTGTGAGTTTGTGTGGGGGGTTGTGTATTTATGTGCAGTGGGAATGGTGTTGTGAGTTTGTGTGTGGGGTTGTGTATTTGGTTGGTGTTGTGACAGTGTGTTTGTATGTAGTGGAGCTGTGTGTTGTGCTGTTATATGTTAGTGTTTAGCCAGAATGGTGTTGTGTGCAGGAGGCTGTGGGTTGTCTGGTGTGGGGCTATGTATTGTGTGCAGTGGGAATGGTGTTGTGAGTTTGTGTGTGGGGTTGTGTATTTATGTGCAGTGGGAAAGGTGTTGTGAGTTTGTGTGTGGGGTTGTGTATTTATGTGCAGTTGGAAAGGTGTGAGTTTGTGTGTGGAGTTGTGAATTTATGTGCAGTGGGGAAGGTGTTGTGAGTTTGTGTGTGGGTTTGTGTATTTATGTGCAGTGGGAAAGGTGTTGTGAGTTTGTGTGTGTGGCTATGTATTTATGTGCAGTGGGGATGGTGTTGTGAGTTTGTGTGTGGGGGCTATGTATTTATGCGCGGTGGGAATGGGGTTGTGAGATTGTGTGTGGGGTTGTGTATTTATGTGCAGTGGGGATGGTGTTGTGTGTGGGGCTATGTATTTATGTGCGGTGGGAATGGTGTTGTGAGATTGTGTGTGGGGCTATGTGTTTATGTGCTGGTGGAATGGTGTTGTGCGTTTGTGTGTGGGGTTGTGTATTTGTATTTAGTGGGGCTGTGTGTTGTGGGGTTATATGTTAGTGTTTAGCTGGAATGGTGTTATGTGTAGGAGGCTGTTTGTTGTCTGGTGTGGGGCTATGTATTTATGTGCAGTGGGAATGGTGTTGTGAGTTTGTGTGTGGGGCTATGTATTTATGTGCAGAGGGGATGGTGTTGTGAGTTTGTGTGTGGGGGCTATGTATTTATGCGCGGTGGGAATGGGGTTGTGAGATTGTGTGTGGGGCTACCTGCTATGTATTTATGTGCAGTGGGAATGGTGTTGTGAGATTGTGTGTGGGGCTACCTGCTATGTATTTATGTGCAGTGGGAATGGTGTTGTGAGATTGTGTGTGGGGCTATGTGTTTATGTGCTGGTGGAATGGTGTTGTGCGTTTGTGTGTGGGGTTGTGTATTTGTATTTAGTGGGGCTGTGTGTTGTGGGGTTATATGTTAGTGTTTAGCTGGAATGGTGTTATGTGTAGGAGGCTGTTTGTTGTCTGGTGTGGGGCTATGTATTTATGTGCAGTGGGAATGGTGTTGTGAATTTGTGTGTGGGGTTGTGTATTTGGTTGGTGTTGTGACAGTGTGTTTGTATGTAGTGGGGCTGTGTGTTGTGCGGTTATATGTCAGTGTTTAGCTGGAATGGTGTTGTGTGTAGGAGGCTGTGTGTTGTCTGGTGTGGGGCTATGTACTTAAGTGCAGTGGGAATGGTGTTGTGAGTTTGTGTATTTGGCTGGTGTTGTGACAGTGTGTTTGTATGTACGTAGTGGAGATAGTGTGGTGTGTTTATTTGAGCTGTATTAGGCATTGGAGTCTTGTGTTTGTGTTTAGTGCTTGTGTATTTATGTTTTGTTCGGATAGGGTTGTATTTTCGTGTAAAATGAGGTTGTGTGCAGTTTGGAGTGGGACGGTTGTGTATTTGTGTGTGAAGGGGGTTTGCTTGCTGAATAATTGAAAGTGAAAATCACATTGTTTAGTATGTAGTCTCTCTCCTGACTTGGAAACTTAATGTTTTGTAGAAAGAAGAGTGTAATAGACTTGACCAGCAGTCCACAGCATTGCAGACCAAAATTGTGGAGTTACAAAGGAGTCCTTTTGCACGAACAAATAGGAACAACGTTTTAGAAGACATGTTAGTTTTTCATTCACATTAGATTCAAAGAATTTCAATGCTGAAACATATTTTTAAAATATCTTAAAGAGAATTGCACAGTGTTGTAGATCAAAGTGCAACATATATGGAGTTCAGGTACAAAAACAGTTCTGTATATAAGTAGTGGAATGATTGTTTGAAACGTATACATTTCTCATTGAAAGAGCCAAGATGAGGTTAAAATAAAATGATTACCGGGTATGCGATATAGTTTCCGTGTTAATTTCAGATGGATTTGTGATGAAAAATTTGTTAAATATCCTTTGAACAAATCTGATTGTGAATTTCACCATTTAAGGAAAGATTATCAATGTTACCCTGTTACAATTTCTGTAAAGCTCTCTTTCACTTGTTAGGAAAAACAAAGCTCTTGAGAAGAATTAGCTGATTTATGGTGGAGCAAATTCTGTATCTTATTCGAATAACTATAAAGTTTTCAGTACAATATCAAATATTTTTAACATTGTATTAAACTATTTTCCAATTGAATAACAATGACAAAATACCTTGTATCATTTTATAACAAGCTATGATAAAACCGATTATTTTCTACAACAGGGAGAAGACTTCAAGGGATTTGTACCAGGAATTGAGACAATCTGGCAGAGCACGTAAGATACCGTTCTCATTCTTTCAATATTCATATATATGTTGGACACTATTAAGCATAGGACAAGGTTTTGAGCTAAAGAGGAGTGGGTTTCATTAATAATTTTGTGCACACTTTGATTTGGCGGATTGCTGTAGATGAAGCAAAATATTCTATACGTTTATATAGATGTTGAATGTTTGCAGAAAGACTTTTTGCTTGTTTTGGCTTGTCCACACATTCCTGACTATAGTTTTCAACCAAACATGAAAACTCAAAGAATTATTAACAACAATCTCTGGAAACCATTTGAAAGTTTAAGGTCATAAGTTCAAGGTCAAAGTCACAGCCACAGAATCTTTCCATGATATTTGGAAATAATCAACCAAATATATTGTAAAACTCATTCCATGTTTCTAAATACAATAACATGCATTTCTTGTTTGGATGTGCATATACACATGCATTTTCAGTTTTCATCACTATTTAATAGGTAAGATTTATTGGATATGTACATCATAAAATCAATCCTATTTCTACAATGGTGTCAATGGGCATGCTATGCGCCTTTTGCCTGATCTTGTTTGTATTACATGCATAATTGATCATCCAGCATGTTTCACTGATTATTAAAGGAATACTTAAGGATTTAGGGAGAGGGGTGGTTTTCCCCGAGGCCTTAACCAATTTGTTTTCATGTATTAAATGAAATTATTTGTTTTAACTCTTAATCCATTGATCATATACCTACATTGATTAGGGGTTGTTTATATTTCAGCTGGTAGAGAAAACTTGCGAGATCACCGCCCCATGGTGACGGCTGTGGTCAAGTGTGTGATGACCCGTGACAAGAACCTCCAGGACTTGTACAGACATCTTGTGTAGGCCGATTCAGTTTTGTTCAGTTATTTGGATTGACAAAGATTTTCCTTTAATACATGTACTAAAGTCATCAATTTTCTATTGTATGTTAAGTCAGAATGTAAGGCTAAATGGCTACCCATATGTTACCCAATATCATGCCAAGACCTCCATATCAGCCCAAGGACCCGAGGCCTGAATCGGATAGATGATTGATGCCGGTTAGGATATGGACATCAGCTGGTGCAGACAATATATCCATTTCCACTTAATTCTTGTTTGTTTTAATTCAACAGAAAGATAGCTTCTTGTAAGCAGGAGCTGTACAAAATCTTGCCTGGAATTGAAAGGTGTTGCAGAGATATAAGCAGTGCAAATGAGCAATTAATCAAATGTCAGAAGCGACGCCAGTCGGAAATCTGGCAGCTCTTTAGAATGGTGGTAAGGTAGACCTTTATGTATACAGTTATTACCATTATTATTTCCATAGATTTACATATTACTATACACAAAGACTACAATAGTAACAATGTGTTCTAAAAAAGTCTTATTTTTCGGCCAACATGTATCTTTTTCTAAATCGCTTATTAAAATATAATATTCAGTTTTGTCAAAAAGATGCCCACCAGATGCCCCAAATTAACACCCCTCCTTTGCTGGTATGCAAAGCTAACATTTGTAAAAAGAAATGACATTGACTTACATTCAATGGCACAACATTTTTTATTAACTTTTAAGTAATGAATAATACCTGTTGTCATACTGATATTTAATCTGTTCTGTTTGCTAGCTTACTATCAAGTTAGTCAGGATAAATTTGACATGAACCCACTTTGAAGATCACAGGTATAAGATGTGCATTTGGCCTCTTTTGTGCAGACACAAATGCAACTTTCAAAATTCTAACTTCCATTAATTGCCCATAGTCCATTATTCAGTATATGGCTGTATACATGTTACAAGAAATAAGTTTGGCTTTTGAGCTCAAAAACTTGTCATTTGTTTGTTATTTCTCCACACAAGTGGTGTATTTTGAAAATGTGACTACTATTTAACAATTTTTATTATTCCATCGTAACTACTGGTCAGAAATAAGTAGCAGCGCAAATAAAAGTATGCTCTGAAAAGTGATTTGGCCTGTCAGTATACCTACCTCACATGCATAGAGAGTGCTTAGCTTAGACCTGTCATGTTTACAGCTTTGCCTTCCTCTTTTACAGGGTGGTGAAATCAATCGACATGGAAGCAGTGGTCAGGCCAGCATCTCTGTCTCAATTTATGGCAATGAATCTCTGGAGTCTCTGCAAGTGGTTGAGGACTCCAAGGAAACACATAAAAAGTACAGCCTATATAACTATGTACATTTTGTTGGGATTTTCATTGACCAGTGTTTATTGTATTTTAGGGTGGTTTAAATTTATATGATTTAAAAAATAAAAGCAAAAAAAGAAATAACAAGGAAAAATAATAATGAAATTTTAAAAAACAGTCTTGTTTGGGTAAGTGATTAAAGGAGTTTTAATCAATTTCAGGCTCGGTCAAATGCTTCAAGATGTTCTTCAAGCTCAAAATGATCTGACATTAAACTTGGATTGGGATTCAATACCATTGGCCGACACCTGACTTAGATGTACACTGAATGACCGGGTACACTGGAGACTTATTTATATACATGATGGAGTCCTCCTATCTGTTACAGCCTTAAACCATGTTTAGTGATAGATGTGAGTAGTTTGAGTAGTGGCTGTAAGTGTGCAATTGGTTATAACATTGGCTGTTAACATACAGCAGGTGTCAACGGCTGGACTCAATACTCATGGCTGTTACATACAATGAGTTTCAGCTGCTGGACTCTAGACATACAGGGGCAGGTGGCTGTTATGAGACAGTGTGTTTCAAAAGTTTAACTTAAATAATATACAGTTACAGGCTGTTACATAGTGAATTTCAACTACGGGACTCCGATATACCGGTCGCTGTTATCAAAGAGTGTGTTTCAAAAGTTTAACTCAAATATACATGTATCTGCGACTGTTAACATCCAGTGGGATACAGGGCGGCTCTAAAAATATGTTGCTGTTAGCATTGCCGGTACTTATAATGCTGATGTCTTATATTATCACTTCATATCTGTAAAAACAGCTACAGCGAAAAGCATCTACTTTTATTTATGTTTAGGAAATGCTGTCAAAGTATAAAGATGAGTCGTTTTATAATATATGTTTTTAAAGAACGTATTGTAAACCACTGGAACTCACTACCCGATACTGTCGTCACCTCACAAACAAGTAAAACATTTGAATCTGGTCTGGATAAGTATTGGGGACAACCTGATTGTTTCTATAACCATGAGATAGACAATAATGAACTTATTCATTGCCGGGACGTCAGCATAGTGTCCGACTATATTCCAGATCTGGATATATAGGCATATTGCCTGCGTCCAGTTTTATTATTATTATTATTATTATTATTATAAGCTCATGCATCTGAGCATTTGAGCTTTTATTTTTTGCTAGTTTGTACGTTAGATGGAATCACTTCATAAGTGACCTTCAGCTACTTCAAGAACACAGGGCCAGGTTAAGTATGTATCTGTTTGGGGTTTTACATATTTGCTAAGGTCATATATATGAAGATGGTATTCTCGGGTAAAGGAGCCACTAAAAGGTCACCTCACTGAAATGTCACAATCTGTAGCATGATGCTTTACCCGGTCATATACTGATAACAGACTTACCAATCCTTACCGCCACCCTCTCAAAGCTTAATTTCAAGCGAAGGGAAGTAAGTTCCAATTTTCAGGACTTTGGTTTGTCCCAGTCAAGGTACTGCAGTTCCCATAACCTTCCACAATTGGGTGAACAGTTAAATTAACAAAAGTCAAAAGGAAAGTATTTCAAAGAAAGGTGTTAGGAAGTGAAAAATAGTTATAAAGGGTGTAAGGAAACAAAAAAATACATGTAGTTAAATGTGAGATTAAATGGATCTGAAATGTTGCAAATGGTGCAGTGTATTTATTTTGAGGGCTTATATGGGTCCCCATGCAGAGGGCACAAAAGTAAATCTCCAATGATGAAGGGTAGTCTCTGCATGAGTTGCATTTGTTGTAGTGGGTAACAATAGGAATGTTCTTTTCGGAAATCCCAATCTGCAAGAATCATAAAGTCTAGAGCCATTATCTATGGCTATGTTTTGTAGTCAAGCAGTGTACATTTTTCTGATATATTGTACCGAGATCAAAAGTCAGCTTCTAAAACTGTCTGAAATCAAAGTTCAACATGGACTATTTAAAGTAAAAAGCATTAAAAGTTTCATAAAACTCAGACTCATAATATTGGCCAGTAAGTACCTGGATAAAAGTTTCCTCACATAAATGACCTTGACATAATTTCCTGGTTGAAACAAAATTTCGCTCAGAGAAAGGGCTTCATGAATTCTAAGTTTATATGATCTCCCTGGATGAGTCTTTGGGCAATACATGATCCTGAAACCTGTTTATGATAGATCAAAGTCAAAGGTTAAACTGAGGTTGCAATGTTGTCATTTTGGTACGCAACATAACAGTCTCATGATGAACAACTTAGTGTCCATACATTAAAGAGTAGCCAAATTATGCTATTGAATCCTATGTTTCTACATCCAAGATCAAAGGTCATGGTGACCATATTTTGATTTGCGACAGCTGTCTCATGAAGTACCTATATATACTAAAGTCCATACATGCGAAAGTGGCCGAGATATGCTCTGTAAACCTGTGTTATGTTACTCTTTTCCTAGGTGACACAGCACTTTCTCATTATGTACCTACATACAAATATGATATACATGCATGAAATAGTGGTCAGGATACAGTGTATGCTCCTTATACAGGGACAGATCAGAGATGCACAAGGTGAATATTTTATACCCCAACTTTTTTCCAAGTGTGGATATAATAACCTTGACCCACTTGCTTATTCTTAGATGAATTATGCATTTGCCGACAGCTTTAATTAACTGGTAAGCAATATAGGCCCAATGGGCCTCTTGTTACAGTTTGATGTTAACTTGAACTATATTTGTTGACTTTTACATATATGTGCTGACTTAACTGTTATAGCTAGTGTGGCAATAACTTTGTTTAATACAAAAATACTGTTCTTGTTGAGTTAGTACTGTATTCCAGGAAATATTCGCCCAGTCAAACTTTTGCCGTTCACTTGCAGGCCCATGCTATTTTCACACTTCTCATGTAATGATTATGTATCGTATGGTGTGTATTTATGTTTGTTGTTATGATAAATCGCCCTCATTACAAAAGTAGTAAATGGTGAAAGGCAACCTGCTGCGGTGCCCACAAGTGATTGTCCAATTCCCATTTTGTTTGTTCTCTTTATGACGAGCAACATTATGCACTCTTATCATGAATTCTCTGTGCATACAGTCATTGGAATAGTGATCATATATTCCCCTCATTATAACTTGTGCTTGTTCAGATGATGGTGTTAAATATTTGTGATATATCTTGGAGAACAATTGCATGGCCATTATAAACAAAATAAAGTAGTCTGTTTTAACTTATTAAGTTTCTTTAAATGCTATGTAGTTTATATATGTCTCCCATTCAGAGCAAGAGGACATACTGCTTTTAAAGCTGATCTTACCATTCTCATCAAGTTGACCCTTCAAATAAGTTTGGATTTTCAATTTTCATTTTCAAATATCTTACCTAGCCCAAAGGGCCTAGTCAATTTTTCCTTTAAGAAACTCTTCCAGAGAACCATTTGGTGAAGGGTCTTGGTTTTTAGCTGGTAGCTTCAAGGGATGAAGCCCAATAAATTTTGTTAAAAATACCTTGACCTACTTTCAAGGTCACATGGTTAAAATATGCAAATAACGGTACATCAAACAACTTCTTCTGAAGATCCCAGAATTGTCATATTTGGTCAGTAAATCCTGGCATGGAGAGCTTCAAAATTTTCCAAATAGAAATTACTTTGATTAAAAATTTGTTCAAACTTACAAATAATGAAAAGGTCTATGAACCTATTCTATGGAATACTGAAAAGGTCTATGGACCTATGGAACTATTTGGCAGATAGCAGGCTGGGTGAAGGGCTATGAAGTTTGCTCAAATAAATTACCCTATTTCTAAGGTCACTGGGTCAAATGTGTTCAAATATTCAAGGGACTCAAAGTCTTGCTATTCAAGTTATTTTAAATATGACCTTGACCCAATATGAAGGTCATGAAAATGATTAAATTAAGAATAACATGTGAGCAATGCAGGCCCATTGTGCCTTTTGTTTTTACATATTTGATAAACTGCAAGGTCATGGCTTTCTTGTGTCTCAAAATACATGCTGTCAAGAGATGACTTAAATTTTAATATGAAGTGTATGATTGTAAGTGTGTAAGCTGCATAGGATACAAATGTTCATTATATATATACTTATATAGATGTGTCCAGAAATACCACTTTAACTTAGTCTATGTGATGGAAAGTAAATTAATTTTAGAGTATTGTAAATATTTTTTTAGTACCTATTCAATAATATTGTTGTCTTCTTTTGTCCGTTGCTGTGCATTTGTAAACAATTCACATTTCCAACACATTCTTAAATATCACCACAGCAGAGGTAAAGTTTTGTATAGATAATAGGTAAATAACACTCAATGAGTATATTTTGTTTGTTTTCAGTAGGAAATACTGAAACATAGTTTATATTTAAGTGGATACCCTATCCCCATTCTTATTCATATAAGCCAAACCCACCAAAAGAAATGATGATTTGAGATAATTTTGATTGTTTTCTTCATATTTTTGGGTCCCTCTGCTGTGGATTGGTGATGCAAGGAATATTCAAAGTGAGACTGCAATACATTGATTTTTCAGGGTCACACTATTGTTTGCGACGTCATGAATAATTAATTTCTTGACAAGACAGGGTTTGTCAGGATCATTGACGTCATTAACAATTGTCATCCGGGCTTCAAATGCAAAATTTGCGGAACGTATATCGTCGTTATATTGTCGCAAATTATTTGTGTTATATCTCAAATGCTAAGGCCTGGGGGTATGCTTTATCAAATGTGAATTTCATTACTGGCCGGGACGTCAGCATAGTGTCCGAAGGCAATGACCCATTTTCTCCTAAAGAGGCAATGGGTTGTGGGGTTGTAAATTTTTACAATGATTGATATATAGTACTTTCAGATTTTTTTTATTTTCCTTCAGACATATTTCACAGTTGGACCTCTGGTGTAATGAAGCTTGTATCATGAGATGGCAATGAAACATTAAAAAATTTAGAATTGGTAACTGAAGATTAAGGAAGACTTGTACAATGTATAGGCTTTTTAGTCCCAAAAAAACTAACAATCTCCTTTTAAATTTTTTTTTGATGTAAGCCCTAAAAAGACATAGTCAATTATTCCAGACTTATAGGCTTTTTTGTTTTCTAACAGTTACCAACTAAATATATTCACATCTGTTGGTCACTTCTCAACATTTTTTATGTCTGCATGTATTTTGTTTTGTCGTGTCACGCACAACACATTCAGCAATTGTATTGCAATGCAGGTGATCATCAAGGCCAACTACATCTTGTTTTATTTCATTTCCGTTATTTTCAGCATATATTATTGCTTAAAAGTAACAAACAGTCAAAGACGTTTTTATTTCATTTTTTTTTTTAAATATTTCAACATGTTTTATTGACAAAAAGCATCAACCAGTCAAAAGAAGTGGATGTGAGTTTGTTTGTTCTTAAGTCTGTTCAAAAAGAGTACCAGGTAACATTTTCTTGATAGCAATTTTTTTAACCAGAAAATAATTGCTCGTCTGTACAGCTGATTGCCATATAACATATTTGTGAATATGTAAGAGGGTAAAAGATAAGTGTTGGTATACATGTTTTTCAATAAACTTTGTTCTATAAGCAAATGTGATAGCTTTCCTGGTACAAATTCAGGCATAAATACTGTATAAGTGGACATTTTTGCTTTGACCCATTAAGCTGAATGTAATATGCAATCAACATAATCTGTGAAGATACATGTATATTTGCATGTGGATTTTTTTCATGCTAATTTATTCAACTTGAAAAAAGCAAACATTTCCACATCGCAAAAATGTCCACTTTTAAGATGACTTTTTTACCACATTAATGTATGTTTAGAATGAAAAAGTTAGTCTATGAATGATGTTGTAATGACATATGATGTCAAAATAATGATAATAAAATGAATTTTTAAAATGATGAAAGTTGTTTCTTTTATGATTGAATAATGGGACTAAAGTTGTTCAGGAAATATATTGCCTAGTACAATTACCGGGGATACCTCCTCACCCAAGTACAGGTTAAATGTTTAGGATTTATATAGGTCTGTTAGGATTTTCATGACTTAATTTTAAGGTCACAAAACAACTCTGAATTGATCCTGTTAAACATCACAAGCTCTGTTTAAAAATAAAAATCTTTATTGTCAACAAATCTTGACTGTTGATCATCAATGATAATGAAATCACTATGCTTAATGACCCACCTGAGATCAAGTACACTAACACAGCTATTTACATGTTATTAAAACATCACAGTACAGTATATTACAGTAACAAATGTTTTTAGTGAAGATCAGGTGACCCGAATAATCAGTTCTTTTACCAGCATATTTCATTAAATTTAAAAATATGATTCAGATTAAAGAAAAACTTTGTACAAAGTATGAGCTCATTATAAACATTTTTTTTTACCTTAGTTACTGTCACAGATTTGACATTTGAAACAAGCCTTCTATTATGAGTACCAACTTCTAAGAAGGGAACTCATGGAGTGTTGGTTAATAATGTTGTCATTTAAGCAGATGTATACAGAAAAATATAATGGGAGTTGTTATTGACTTGCCATAACAAGAAGACTTACAGGAAAGGCCACACTGTATGATGTAACTTATTCTTGTATTTCCCATAATCATCATGCAGAAGCCACAGCCAATTATCTTCAATTTCAGAATATTGATAACATAGCATTGCATGTATATTATCGGACAAGTGCCATTAACCATTAAGTAGGTACATGTATGAAAATAACCAGAATAATTTTTTTACCAAGAAACCTTTGGTGGCTATCTTGGATTATGGAATCTGAAATTAATATGTTCTCATTCACAATACTATTCACCAAATACCATTTCTAAAAAACAAAAGTTGTAACCGTAGCTAAATTGTATGTGTCGTCAAACTAAAAGCAACAAACGATTGCCATATTTGATATCAATCTGTTATAATGAAGGAAAATCACTAAGCACCTCTTACCATTAAAATGAACACTGACAAATCATAAAGGGCTATAAAATTATGTACAGTGTTGCCAGTATATCACCCCCCTGTACAGTGACTGACCATGACCATATGAAGATATGCACTGGTCATTTTGGATAAATTTCAGGATCCTGGTAATATGGAAATTAAGATATTTAGAATCAGATAATCTCACTCAGGAAATGAACATGGGGATAGACAAATAGAAGAGAGGTGGTGTAATTGATACACTGCACCGTCACCTCTGATGCATGGCCCGGAACCAATCACAAGGCTGATAGGACACATGTACCTGTATTTTGAAAATTATCAAAGAGCTTTACCATTTAGGATTTAACCATTACTATTTACTTTTGTCTCTAATCAAAGCACTACTCTGATATTCAGGATTCTGTAAATTTCCAAACTAGTCAATTCATATCAGTGGCAAGGTGGTTTGTAAACACATAATCCAAGGTTGTATAAAAAATATGTACATCGATCAGTGTAACCCTTGAATTTTGAATACCATAATGGACCACAAATTTAATAGATGTTGCACCTAACTTTGAATATGTGAAATCCTATGGTTTTTAAAGTCTTGTGTTAAGCCTATTCATAGTTCGTCATGATCTTTGATTTTGTCCACCTCACAGATCTGGCCAAAGTTACATTTGTCGATTAATTGTGAATAGTACTCTCGGACATCAGTGTACCTACAGAGAACCTCCCCACAAGCTGGGATTGTGATTGCCTCCTCATTCACATACAGCTTCACATAGATGCTTTCTTCATCCTCATCATCACTATCATCCTCCTCTTCCTCATTATCACTGTTTATGTCACATTCATACAAAACAAAGGCAATATTTGCTGCAAAAGGTACGATTTTACTACTCCTGAAAAGTCTGTTGGTATGTCTTTCAAAATTGCTTGCCATCAGTGGTTCAGAATCTTTATACAGTCCCAAAGCTGCATATAATGGTAACAATGTCTCTGCATGTGCAAATCGAAACAGCCCCACAGTGAAACTGCAAAATCAATAAAAGATAAAAATGAAAGAGTACCCTGAACGAAAATACAAATGCATAAAACATCGATGTATATTTTTTAAAAACAAAAATGTCCAAAAAGCGCATCAAAATCAGTCACTGCGAGATACAGATACAAGAAGTTTATGATTTTCACCTGTCCTTTTTCAGCTAGTTAGCGTAGTCGTAAGATATTTAAGGCCAAAAATAATAATAAAACCTTTTGTTTCCGCTATCACCCTAGGAAAAAAATAGGGTAGGTAGGTAGGCAATTGTTTTTTCATTTTGGAAAATATTTTTGCTATGCTCAACTAGAGCAGGAGTTCTGACTTTTAGTACAAATCATTAAATGCCAATAAAAAACATTAGGGTAGGCACACAAATCTTGGGTAGGTAGGACTAGCGGAAACACAATATTTCTTTTTATTTACCCTAGGGTTTATGTATACCAATTATAATTAATAATGTCTAATTAGTAACTAAGTAAGGGTAATGCAATAAAGATACAGTCAGAAAAAAATTATCACATACTCTTCTCCGTCTTCAAAGTCATTCACAGCATCGTCCATCTTCTGGAATATATGTCTTACTAAAGGACAGCTCATGTCTGAACTCAGCTTGTATCCATATGCTTTTTGCCAGTAGTGCTGTTAAAAAAATAAACATCAATACTGTAAAACTATGAATATATTCATTATCTTACAATCATATTTGTATACCTCATAATTCATTTATGAGGTGAATACTTTAAAATTTGAAAATGTAATGAAAAGTTGCAATGTATGCTATAAATACACTCACCAAGTGATTAATTTTTCATAGAAAATAGTTGTGTATTGTTATTAACCATGATCAGTATGAACTTGAAAGTGACTCAATCTAGGCCATTAGTAGACATATTTGGTAGGCTAGCCCCCCAACAAACTATTTAAAGTACAAAGAAATTATAAATCTAGCCCTCCAGGCCAGATAAATTTGGCATCAATAATATCCTGGATGCGGCACCATCACATATTTGTGCCATTTGAGCTAACAAGAAATTTGAAGTTTATATACATCATTACATGTATCCACACTAATCAATCGTGTCTCTTACTTTCAAATCATTTAAGTAATCTATAACTTCCATATCTTCCTTTTCAAAAAATTGACACCAGTCCGACTTGCCAAAGAATGACAATTCAAAGGCACATATCTGATGAATTGTTTGTACATCATCTGAAAATATAAAACTGAGAAGGTCAAGACTGTACACGACATGAACAAGACGCAATATATGAAACATGTTTGACAAATGAAAACTTATTGGGTTCCATTGTAATTAATTAACATTTCCATCTTGCTTTTCAGGATCAAACATAGAATTCAAAATTCCTTAATACATATGCCTTGACAACGAGCCACAATTCTGCTTGACTAGAAAAAAGTTAATAGGATATATATGGTAATCCATTGATAAAACTTAAAGTAGTACATCTTCCATGTGAATGAAAATCCAATACATGTACTATATTTATCAAACCTTTTAAAACTAGAAACTATCTCTTTTCTCCGAGTGATTTTACTTTTATATTAAGTTAAATCTAGTAGCGCGAAGGAAGATGAAATGATATTCTCTGCATTGCATATAAGTAACAAGAGTACCGAGGGGCAGAACAATACACAATGCACGCCCGTCGAATGCCATATAGTGTTATATACTTTCTTAAATTGAAATAAGATCTGCATCATTCAAAGAGTGGTTAGCTGTCATGCTATAAACAAGACGCCCAGAGGGCCTGTATCGCTCACCTGAATGTGTTTAAAATAATTGGTATGAAGTAAAAATATAGCCCTCAATGGTAGGTGCTGTAAGTACATATGAAATTTCAGAAAGATCCATCCAGTACTTGAGATATAGCGAGAACAAACTTCAAACAGAGCCCCACCCCTATGCCCCTAGGGGGGTCATACCCACTGTTTATACAAAATTATGTCCCCTTGGCCCAAGGATGCTCCAGAGTAAATAAGGATAAAATCCCTTAATCCCTATGGTAGAAGTTATACTGAAATGAACAAAGGGGAATAACTTTTGCAAAAATTGTCGAATCTAAATTCTTTTAAGGGAAACACAACTTCATATCATGATTAAGGGAGACACAACTACATATCATGATTATAATTTTTAACAGGTTTCAAAGAGATCCATTGAAAAATGTAGGAAGGAGATCTCCGGACAAAAAATCAAATACTGAAATGAACAAAGGGCAATAACTTTTGGAAAAAATGTTGAATCAAAATTCTTTTAAGGGAGACACAACTTCATATCATGATTATAATGTATACCAAGTTTCAAAGAGATCAGTCGAAAAATTTAGGAGGAGATTGCTGGGCATATAAAAAGTTTACGCCGGATGGACGGACAACCTCATACCATAATACTTCCGTCAAATTTGACGGGCAAATAAAAAGTGGACACCATGTGATGTTTGAAACAGAGATATCATTTAAACTACAGAATATTTTAATCCACTTCTATGTATCAATTGGATTAAGTAAATACCTGATATATTTAATCTAAATGCATATACTGTTTTCTGATAACCTTACAAAATTACAATGTTTTTTGATGCATTTTAATAGAACTTCATGTTTTGTTTGTAATACCACAAAGATGAAAGTTTGTATATGCTGTGTTGGTTGCAGGTTTGATGTCATGTTTTGTGAGATTTGTGTTTCCTTATTGATATTGCATGTTTAACAATGAGTGTATGGTGAATATAACATGCCTCCACTGGTACAGAAATCGAAGGAGAATGTTTTGAAAGATTTTCCTCAATTTTCCCTATTGGCACTCTTCTGCCCAAAGGTGGGCCACAACTTTCATTTCTACAAAACTGAGTCCCCTTTGCCCAAAGATGCTTCTATTTCCCATATTGCCCCCGGGGAGTGTGTGTGTGTTGGGAGGGGGGCATCCTCTGTTGATACAAAAGTAAAAACTTTTGGCCATGATTCTCCACTGCGTCTACTTAGCTGTCAAGGACCTGGAAGCATTTTAAAGGAAAAAGTTGACAGATGATGGACGCTGTGACATGGCATACAATACTACAAAGAGCTTCAGGAAACAAAATTTGTGTTAATATTAGAGAGGTTATTTTTACCATAAAAGTACCAAGTATATTTTTTAAAATTTGGCACAACTGAATGCTAAATAGACAACTATATCCATGTGGCATGTATATGAACCATGGGTGCTTGTATGCACCAATATCCTCATTATCCTGGCATCTCTGTATACTATTAGTGTATTGTACAAGAAACACCTTTTGTTTGTTCCAGCTATACTACAGATCAAATTTAGTTAAAATCTAATCAGCCGTTTAATAGTTGGTATTCAAAAGGAATAAGTTTAACAAGCTGTCAGATGCCGCAAGCTCTATTGCCCATTGGGCCAGGTGAGCTAAAACTTATTCAAACTTTTGATTACATGTACCCGTAGCTGTTAAACTTAAGGTTCAACATACCCCATGAATGATGGTAGTTACTCTAAATTTCAAAATCATGATACGTCATATTCACAAACCTGAATTAAGAATCAGAACTTATATATGATTTGAATATATTGAACTTGAACATTAGCTACTAAAATACAGCCAAGTAAAGGTAGTCAATAAGGAGGCATATATAAATGCTGATATCTTTCTAAAAGTATATCACTAGATTTAATATAACATGTACAACTGAATGCAACAAAAAGACACATATCTAAGTTCATTCAAATATACTAATGTCATGCAGTTTAATTTCTCTTTTGTTAGCACTGACGTGAGAGGGATACTGACCTCAAATCAAGATGAGGTCTCTTCACAGCTAGGCCTAGTAGAACAGAAAATAAGCTCTGCATGACCTAGGTATAGAAATGAGCTTTAGTTAATAAGCTGTTTCATAGGATTCAGCTATATATGCCGAATATGGCACTTTAAAAAGTGATTGACATATTAAAAAAAATGATCATTTGATGTGCTATATTTCTGAAGACATCAGACTAATTTGCCTTATCACTGACTATGTTAACCTTGCTATGGACTAATTAATAACTAATGTACACATTCAATATCTTCAAATTAGATTTCAAGATTCTTGAAATCTTGATATTATTGGTGTAATTACAGACCTCCACTAATTGTTCCAATCACATCTACATCGTCAACAATCCTTTTCTTAACATCATTGACAACACTGTTCATTTCTGGTCCATTTTTGAATTTGAAGTATTCTCCTAAAGCAGTGTCATTGTTTTCTATTTGATCGAGATATTTTTTGCATCCAGAGTGAAACCTTAGGATGTTGTCATCAATAATGGGCACTTTGTAACTATCGCCGATTACATCAGTCGAAAATATGCTGATTAATCCATCATGGAATGCTCGTCTACTGTCAAAAGTACGTTCTTTACTTGATACAAAATATTGTACTTTTTCAGTTTCTACTTCGAGAAGCATTTTAAAGCGCTGTCCAAATCGCTTGCCAAGTTCAAAAAGTTCCGACTTTCCCGAAGGAGCCAATGCATGTTCTTTTTCATTTGGAAAGGGGTTTGCCCATTTCTCGATAAATCCTGATTGGGAACTAGGCCTAATAATTGCTTTTGTCAATTTTTGCTGAACTTCGTCCATGTGCTTAATCCATTTCAAACCAGGATATCGAATACCATGTCGAATCAATGAGTTTATGTGAAAACTGACACAGGACTTCGTGAGTTTTGTTTTATCTGGGCCATTGCAGATGGCTTCTGAATCTTCCGTGACGACTTCATCATTACTTTTTATCCAGAAATATGGCGTCTTTGTGGAAAAAATACACTTGTTTAAAAATCGAACATCGCCGTAAGCACGTGTATCGATATTTAAAATGGTACAAATCAGTAAAACGTGATACAATGCAGACGACATCTTCCTGTCTACTGATAGTAACACTTCCGTTTCCCGTTTATGTAAGGTCAACTCGGGGTCACAGGCTTTCCACGTGGTTTATCGATTGGATCTTTTAGTTCCGCGCTCACCACCATCATAGGATTCCACACTTCACTCCGGTTTATCCGTCGGTGTTCAACAATGGCTAATCCAAAAGTTTTCTTCGATGTGTCAGCCGATGGGAGTCCTCTTGGGAGAATTGTAATGGAGGTAACTATAATGTTCTTCTTATACTATAATATACCTATATTTAGGAATCGGCCTTGGGTTCCCGGGTTTCATATGTACTGGATAGGAAGGACCTCGATATCGAGTATATTTTTTCCATAGAGAGGGTTATAGTAGAGTCCCCAACCAAGGTTTGAAGGTTGATTTTGGTCAATTTGAGGTTGCTGATTAAAATGAGCTGGGGTGAACCTCGTGCAAATTTGGGCTAAGCCTAACTCGGTTAGACGCGAAAATTCAAAATGGCCGCCACCCGGCGTCCAGTATGCAGGCCTCTTCTT